TGCTGCAAAATTTAACTGACAAGAAAATAGCTGCATTTTCTCTGTTCCTTGACATACCTGTCCTATGAATGGAGTTGTGGGCTCTGGGGTATGAAATAAACCCAATCTGTTTGGAGGGGCTTGACTTCTACAGCGCAAAGAGGAAATATTCATGCCCTTGTTTAATCAAATGCACATTTGAATCATACTGATTTCAATACATAAAGATGTTTGGTATCTCTTTTGGAAGTATAACTTCTTGCTCATCTATCTATTCAGAATGATAATTCTCTTCTCCACCTTTGCTGCATCTCTGCATTTTGCTCTCCTACATAAACAATTTTTGCTTGATTTCAATAAGATTTCTTCTCTCAAACCTGTTTGTAAAAGTGGGAATTTGTAATCACAGCCTCCAACATTTCAGAATTGACTACCCTGATTAACGTGGGTAGTAGAAGGCCCACCAGTAACCAAAGAAGTTTCATTACTTTTGGAAAAGATACCATAAACCATTGGGGGAGCACCACTTCATGCCTAGTTAATGAGAAAAATCTTATTTTCTCGGCGCCCATTTCATGGGACACATTTGCTGTTTCTAAAGCTGTGATGCTATTTCCTTACAGCTTTCCCCACCACAAGGCTGTCTCAGTATGGATATTGCTAGACATCCTGACAAATGACAGTGTCATCCATTTGGTACCACTCTCTTTGGTGAGCCACAAGGCAAATTCAGGCCCTGGAGCTGGACTTAGCCTTGTATGGTCTGTGGATTTTGTCAGGCAGTCTGTGGGGTTTCCTTGCTCTGGGGAGATGCTGTCTGTCTCTGCAGCTGCACATTAGAAGATGAAACCTTCTGCTCTGCTCTGGTGTCTAAAAGCATGTATTATTTTTTGCCCTTTTTTCCCCAAGCAGCAGGAGATAACCTTAAGCCCTGGACATCATTCCCTTTCCTAAGTACTCCATCCTGTTTTGTTGCTAAGTGCACGTCAGCTTCAAGGTTGGCTTTTGACATCATTTATGCTTCTAGTGCATTTCTATAGGGATTTGAAGAGTAACCTCAGTTAGAGAGGCGCTCTATAAAATCAAATTCTTTTCTGTCCTCTCCTATTTCCACTAGTAAACTGTATATCTCTTTGCATTCTTCAGCCTAAAGCTTCTTTCAGGGAGCACCAACTTCTATAGGGATCTTCATGCTGCTGTGAGCCACTGCTACGGCGTTTGCTTTTGCACAGCAAACACTGTGAGGCCCCAGTGCTGCCAGTCAAGGGCATCTGTAGTGCCTAGACATAGCTCAGGGCACTTCTGGATCCAAATGATATTGGCGAGTCTTAGGCCCCATTATCCTGTCTGTTCATCAGTCATATATATTTATATATGCATGTATGTGTATATGTATGCACACACACACACACACAAAGATATATATTTGGAGGGCAAATTGAATTTATACTGGCTCTAGTGATGCTTTTATGAATACAAATAACCGATACAAAATACAATGTCAAAACTAATCAGCTCAAACGGAGAGATTGAAGAGATAAATGAAATCTTTTCTTTTTCTGTGCCTCTGTTCCATAACCATTTGAGTATGGGAAAAGCCGATGGCTCTGGGGTGGAAAGCTGAAGCCAAGTTGACATGTGTCTGCCATTCAAGAATATAATCCTATTAGTGAATGTAACTAAACCTCCTGGGAAAAATAATCTAAATCTGAAGCACTTCCACATGGGCTTTATTTTTTCCTCTTAATTTTTCCATTGCTTCTTAATAACACCATTGCTTCCATTTAACCTTTTTTTTTTTTTAAGTGTAACAACTCTTTTAAAGGCAGATGAAAATCCCGTGATGAAACAGTGCAGAAAAATTCCTAAAGGTCTGAAGGGTAGCACACACAAAAAGAGCACAAAACAACCACATTCTCAGCCATAGCAGTGCTAAGTCCTGGTTTACACAAATCAGAATCCAGTCAACAGAGAATGGAAATACACAAGCCTGGAAATTCCTGTGCTGTGATTTCAGTCTTATGAAGCCAGTCGAAGGGAACTCAATGTAATGAAAAAGAAAATGTGCACAAAAGCCAGCATTAAAGGACATTGTAAAGATTTCTTTCTTATATACTGAAGCAGTGAATTTATTACTTTTTTTCTGTATTTCTAGTTGTTTTTCTGACAAAAAGCAGAATTTTAAATAAGTGTAAAGGATAACCAGAATTAATATTTAAAATCACGGGTTGCAATGATACAGAACTAAATCCAGTTCACTGAACTTTAAAGATGATTAGCTAGTCAGGCTTAGGGAGCTGACTCATTTTCTAAGGTCTGAGTGACTTAATGAACCTAGCAGTGAAGTATGGAGCAGCTTTAATGTACAGATCTCAGTATACCATTCATGTCTGTCTCATATGTGGATGTTACTGTATTAGTCTGGTTTGGGATTAGCAGGGAAGGAGATACAGTCACAGGCTCTGTACCTTTCCAAAATCAGTTTATCTTTTGGTTCTGGTCAGACATAATTTTCCTCCTCGGAATTATGAGTGACAATCAACAGAGCAATTTCAGAACTACTGAGGAAAAGCTAAATTTCTCCATGTTGCTATTGCCAGTGCAGTTAGACTATCATAGGTAGGACATGATTGGGTATAATTAACAGGAAGTGTCTTATGAACATTATGTTCTGTGATAGACAAGGCTGAAGATCACGGAAACTCCATTTCCAAAAAGTGACACAAAGCTTTATTATCTAATCCCATCATTAGCCCTGTCAGTAGAATTTAGGAGACCTGGGTGCCATTTTGCTAAACTCACAAATATTGGCAGTCTTTTTTTTAAAGCATGATGACGTGTTCTCACTGATGTCATTAAACAGCCATATGGGAACCTATGAACTAATGCCAAGGAGTTTGGATGACAGAAGTTGCTCCAGTGCAACTGTGGACATCTACTGCCTTACAGTAAGGTTCAGAGAATTCCAAGAAAAAACACGTTTCACCATTTGAACGCCAAGAAAATGAATGTTAAAAAGCAGGTGAATTTAGGAGGACATGTTCATTCTCATCTTTGAAAAGAGGATGAACATACAGCGTTTTTGTTCTGCCATTCCTGTCAACACTGGACTTGGTTTTGCCTAAACTGGGGGATAGGTGCTTTAGGAGCTAAGAGTGCCATGCAGTGTGTGAAGTCACATTTTACTTGTGCGGCTCAAATCAGCCAGGGTTTCTGTCATGGCAGGTAGTCACTGGCGACAATTGTGGCTGTAGAGGGACAATGAGGATAGCAAGAGGAAAAATAAAGCTAAGCCATTGCATTCTTCAAGGCAGTTGGAGGAAGGGTTAACAATGTGCCTTTTTTTCCCCAAGGCATACTCCTGAGAGCATTTAGGGTTTAATAACATTATGCATTTTAAGTTGAAAACAGAGAGCCAGGTACAGCCTCATCTTGAACAAACCAGGGACAAAACTCTTCTACATGTCACAAAAAATGTCCTTTGCTCATTCTGGATTTATGTATGTTCCCCATTTTTCAGCAAAGTCCTTCAAAAGGTTCATGGGAGTCAGGTGTATAATTTAAAAGGCATTTGTCAGGTTCCACTAACAGATACAGTATGCAGCTTGTGCAATCGTGTGAGCCCTTTCTGCTTTCTCACTTTTGTTCCCAGTGTTGATTTTTCACTATGTGCAGTCTTCTAGGTCCAAAAGATACCCAAAGCACTTAGGACAGGGAGACCATGAGTATGATTAAGTGCCTTCCAGTGCTACTGTAGCACAAATAACAGTAATCATAAACACTGTAGTGTGTAATGAGATAAACAGTTTAATACTGAGCTTCATATACATAATAAATCTGCTCTGAGTTCTCTACAGAACAGTGTATTGATGTGTCTTCCCACAAAACAAACCTTCTTTTTAAAGGTCTTATTTCTTTGTCTGTCAATCCACATGTATTGTGTATTATAATATGTGATGTCAATGATATGCATTTGAAATGGAAAGAGGCTCATATTATAAAATGGGCATATAAAATATGTCTACTTTCTACTTTTGAACAGGGAAGGACATGGTAAAATTTCTGTTTTTGCTGTCAAAATGGCCTTGGCAACTCTTTGTGGAGGAAAAATCATGGACAAATTAAGATGTAAGTCTTTTGAGTGGCATTTTTTACCTGTTAAAAAAAACTTTATTGATGTTATTGTTGTGAAATAACAGTATAGGTAGAAAAGAGGGAATTAGGATAAGTTGCAGTTATGGAATTTGCACTGTCTATCTCCAAGTAAATCCTGCTAAGTGTTTGGCTGAACTGGACTTCATATTTTTAAAGCCAAATTGCATATACTGAAGTTCTGATTTTTCTTTGGGATTATTGAATTTGAGGTACAGGTAAGTGCCTCAACATCATGAAGAATCATCCAGCAATTTCTTCTGATAAATTTTTAATAACATCTCTCTCATTTCACACCTAGAAGTACAATATATTTATGTCCAATTTATATTTCCTCCCATAGGGCCCATTGTTATGCCATCTGTTTTGGCCAACAGATTCCCATTTCACAGGATTCTTTCCCAGTTCCCCAATAGCCAAGGCATAGTTTACTTGTAGCTGCAATGGAAGAATTTCTGTTTAGTGATATGATGTCTGTAGCTCAGATCCAGAACACCATTTTCCAGAATTTTTGGCCAAAAATCCTTCAGTTTCCCCTGAGCCTTCTACCTCAGCTCAAGAAAATTAAGTTTACAAATTGATGTTGGTTAGAGTGGAGAAGTGGAAATCCCAGGTGCTAATTTAGTCTTCCAGATTTAGTGCCGTTTTTAATGCATTATTTCCAAGTAGAAACTCAAACACAGATGAATTTAAGTTGTAAATTATAAATTGAACACTGCTATAAATTGAGCACTATTTGTTCCCTAAGCTGCTCTAAGAATAGGAGCAGGGTCCATCCAGTGGAAGTCTGGAGTATGATGATGATTTTTCGGGTCAGCAGTCCCGGAGTCCTGTTGTCAGAATTTCCCTTCCAGGATCCTGGAAATGAAGCAGCTGACATGACAGCCTGAAAAACAATACATGTTCCCTAGTCAGTGATCTCCTGCTAAGCACAGGATAATTTTAAACAAACGGAGAAGCAAAGGCTGAGAAATTCTGCAATAATAGAAGTGTGATATTTTTATACCTTAAAAAAAGACTGAGAGGAGTGAAAAGTAATGAATTTGCAAGACCTCCAGTGCTTTGTGTGTCCAAAACAATCATAACTGACTTAATGAACTCGTTGTCAAGATTCTGATTTGACATGGTAAACTGGCAGTAGGCAAAAAGCTGATGTTGTGTATCTTGTCAAATCAGAGCCTTCTTATCTGATCAAATTACTGCCTCATGCCATGCATCAGACTTTGCTTAAAAAATGACCACACACAAATTAAAAAAACCATCAGGAATATTTTAGTATTAAAATCAACTAGTTTTTTTATATGCAGATAGTTCTCTTAGTTTTCTATTGAAAGAGGTTAGAACTAAAGATGCAGTAATAGCACAGCTTTGCATAAGCAAAACATGTTTTTTAGTACCTCTGGTTCAAATCAGGTGATGCTGAATTCAGAGCAAATCTGTAGTCCTTGCTGAAGTTGCTGTGTTCTTTTCTTGTCTTTTCCACCCTCAGATATTTTCTCAATGATTTCCGACTCCAGTGGAGTGATGGTTTATGGCAGATATGACATGTTTCTGCGGGAGGTTCTCAAGCTGCCCACGGCTGTTTTCGAGGGGCCTTCGTTTGGTTATACTGAGCAGTCAGCAAAATCCTGTTTCTCACAACAGGTAAATGAAGAGTGAGCATCCTAGACACAAGATCTCAATCACCCCCTCTGAGCAGGATGAGACTTTCTTTCTTTGTTATTCATATGTACATATTCACCCAGGAAACACATGGCTGGATTGAGGGAAGGTCCACATTGCTGATTTCTGGCAAGTAGGTTAGGTGCCTTCAAAATGAGGCTGTTCTCCATAGGTTCCCCATATAACCATGGAAGAGAGAAAGGCTTAGTCAAAAAGTGATTCAGAACAGGGTCTTGATTTACATGTTCCTAAATTTAGCAGGCTGAGGAGTCTAACTTCCTAATTTAACCACCTGTTAGATATTTACATTTAGTTAATATACAAGGCATGTAATTCTCCACTCCTCTTAGCTGGTGTTGGTATAAGTGTACACTGGACTTTAACTTCTCCATGCAAAGCTAAAGACCCACCAAACAAAATCAAGCCACATGTTTTCCACGTGGTGCTGTACACACACAAGAAGTTTAGGAGTGAGAAGAAAATCATCTTAAGCATTTTTGGAAATTTTGGAAAAATGGGAGTCAGTATGTAGTTTCCATCAGTGACATAAGGTCAGGAAAGCAATTAATTTACCCTGAAAAAAATACAAGATTGTTTCCACAACTTACCAAACTCTGTAAGTGCACTGAGTACAGTACCTTGGCTTCAGCTAATACCTAGCACTGCAAAAGATCCCATAATTGGGGCTGGTTGTCCATTTCCCCCATGGAGGAAGATATAATTCATCTCGCTCTTGCCACACATCACACTATATAATTCCATAAACATAAAGTAAGGGAAGATGCTGAAACCGAGAAAACATTAGAAATAAAGCTGAATTTTCCTTCTCTTTATCCTTCTATTTGCTAACTGAATACTGTTAAACAAATACGTTCACTGGAGCAGGAGTAGTGTCATTTTCATGCAAAATAGAATATAATTTTTTCTGTTCCCTCGGTTTCATCACTAATCAATAGGCACTCCAGTCAACCAAAAGGCACTGTTGAAATTCATTTATTGAATTATCTCCCAAATCATTTTAAATGGTGATGTTTGCATGTGTGAAACTGGTCTTGTTTCACAAAGGAAGACTTAAGATGGCATTTCATCTTATGTTGAAGAATTTACATAGTGAGGTGACTTCTGGTAGTTTTGGGTTAAAATAATGCAGGAGTGCTTTTGCGTGGCAACAGGGCATTCAAGCTTTGCATGTTGGACCTGCTATTATTACAGATGAAAAGAGCTATTTCTATTCTTGAAAAAGTGACATTCAGGCCTTGTTTTCAGTCTCAGTGGCCATCAGAAATGGCACTTTGAGATTGCACTCACTTGACTGGACCAGATGCACTAAGGTACCATAAGAAACAAAGTCTTCATGGAGCATTAGGTGGTTTTGTTCACAGTCTGTACTTAGAGCTAACAAGAGTTAAGCCTCTGACTGATGTAGGTACACAGCAGATTTACAAAACTGCTGTTTTGCATCCGTAGGCAGCCAAGTACTCTTGTAAATCTAGTCTAATATTTCACTTAAATTGACTTTATGTAATTCTCATTATGTCCTCACTAGGGATGAACCAGAGTTTTGAAATGAGGTTAAAAAGAACATATCTCTATGACACTGTGATAAATGGTATTTACAGTCTTGGTCACACCATAGGTCATTCTTTCACTCTCTCATATTGCACTTAGCATTATCAAAGGTTGATACCTTGGGATAAGTTTGGCACACTCTCTTGTTCTCACTGTGGATCACTCTTGCTTACCAGAAGCCTTTCAACCCCCTGATATGTATAGATTCTTCAATTTCAGGGAAAGCAGAAATTCTGGGAATTAGCTTCTGCTCATGGTGTCAAATCCTTTTCAGTTTATGTCTGAAAGGATTTTATTCCTACATCAGAAAGGAATTATTATTCCCCATTGTACTGGTTTACTTGACCAGACAATGTATTTTCCTCTGCCTGTGAACCACTGCTAGATTGAATGACTATTTAAAATAGAAACAACAGTGTTTCCTCATCAGCAGATTCATGGAACAGAAATGCTAGACCAAGTGAGCTTGAGAATACAAAGGAGTTTTATCACCACCACTTTCCCTCATAGGTAGGATTGATGTGATGTCATACTGTATTTGTATTAAACTGTGTTGTTACTATTGTAAAAACCACATTTTTTTAAAAAAACTCTTTTTTTCATCCCAAGCTGAAAAGATAGACGCTAACTTCATTTTCTTAGCACTTGTCTAAGTGTTAGTCCACAAATCTAGATTCCATCTGCATATAGCATATATTTAGAAAACAGCTTTCCATTTCAACTTTCCCAGCAGCTGAAAAAGAAGCTGCAGGAGGAAAATGTATGGAAATTGCTCTGCCGGTGTCCTTTTAAGGGACATTGCTCTCTCTAATCCATAAAATCAGTGATCACCAGAGCAGTTTGGACATAAAGCTGTCTGTGAAGCTAAGTTGCTTTATTTAGTGCAAATCAGGTTTTAAATTGCAGTTGCATTCAAAAGCCTGCTGCACTGAGGAAGAGCTGTTCTTGTCTCCTCGTGTATTTGCTTGTTTAGACAGTTGTGTGTCTGCCTTCAAGAGCAGAGGGAAGGCTTAAGGTTACTCAGTTCTGCAGTATGGAGCACTGGAGGTCCCTTCTTTTCCTAGACATCATTCCACCTTTTTTCCTCCTGTATTCTCAGTTCTGCTGCAGGCAACACAGGGCAGCATTGGTCAGCAAAGCCATGCCAAGCATCCACGGCAGATGTCTGAAAGATCCTTTTCTGTGAGCTGATGCTTATAGCTTAAGATGGCTATTTGGGAGGTGGTTTTCCACTCTGCATGGCTGGAAAGGTCATTCATACAACAAGTAGGTGGTATTATTTGGTTAGACTTTTCATACTGCAGGTATTGTGGGAAGAGATAGCATTTCAGTGAGACTTAGAGCTCATACTCTGGCTATTTCCATTCATTAAAGAATCAAGACCATTTTCACACTAGCCTGAAGTATTTTCTCCTAGGGACAAATATCTTTATATCTTCCCCAATATCTTGCAATATTTCAGCCCTGAGACTGTTACAGAGTGAGATGTTTTCCATTGATCACTCAGTGTAAAGAGAAATAATGATTTTATTTACATCTGGTGGCAGTTGTGTATAAATAGAGCACAGACACTCCATCTGGAAATCTCAGCTCTGAGAAGTGTTCCACAACACATGGAGATGATACATGTCACTGAGTAGCTGCTGCCTTGCTTCCTCATGGGGTAACCACAGTTCTTTAGCAAGTGAAAGCAGTAGCTTATGTAATCAGATATGAAAATTCAGCAATCCCTTTGGATATGGGGATACTATTTAAATATGTATGTGTATAAAATATATCTGCATATATTCTCAGCAGGGCTCAGTATTTTTGCAGCTTAAATTTTATTTAAGGAAGGCTCAGTTGCTGATTGAAAAAATGAATTAACTAAGATTTGTGATTACTCTTTCCAAACACCTAAGAAACTTAAGGCCCTAGATTGCCTCTTTTAAATCAACAGGGATATTTTAGAGTTTAAATCTCCTTGACAGGTAAAGGGGCATAGATCTTGAGTGCTTAAAGGTGCAATTGCAGTTCCTGAGTGTATACAAACATGACATCCCACAATCAGAGCTCACCCATGTCTAGTTACTGTCACTCATCATACAAGCATAGTTTTTTAAGTTACAGTGATAAATTGTCTGTAATGGTCTGTCCTTACCCTATATTTGTTTTAAAACTGTACTCCCTTGTCAGTATTTTTGTTCCTTTTCATTTTTGGAGTACAAAAAAATCCATTCTCTGCAGTGACTTTTCATTTGAAAATTGGTCATACATAGTGATACCCTACATGCACTTGTACTTCTTACATGATACTCAAAACATGCAGAGTTGAATGCCACCCTTAACCACAAAGCATCTTCAGGCAGTGACTCTAGAAGAGAGTCTGGAAGTGTGTGGGAGCAATGTGTCTCCAACCCAGCCTTGTGAGAAGGATTGCTAGTCGTCAGCTGCATCTTTGTACTGACTAAAAATAGTCTGGAAAAGCTTTGCTAGTATCACTTGTTCTTTTTAGTAAATCAGGGCTACAGGCAAACAGCATTTGAAACTTGTTCCCAAGTGTTTCTGTAACGACAAGGTAAAATAATTTTGAGATATCTAATCACTGATGGTTTTGTTTATTTTTGTTTGCTTGTTTGAGCAGAAAAAAGTCACGTTAAACACTTTCTTGGATACTCTCATGTCTGATCCCCCGCCACAGTGTCTAGTGTGGTTGCCACTTCTGCATCGACTGGCAAATGTTGAAAATGGTGAGTAAGAGATACTGCCAAAACACAGTCACAAGAGTAAACTTTGGTGTGATGATTTTCTCACTCTGTAGATGGTTCTGTAGGAGCTACTGTACTGGGTTCATTGACTCCATGTGCTATTTTTACAGTGACTGATAAAATATTTTAAGAAGTCTGTTGGTCATTCAGCCGGGAATGTGGCTTAAATTTTGCTGTACTCAGGAAATTAACCTGATCATGTCCTGTCCTCCTGCGCCCTGGATAAGCAAGGAGCTCTAGGACTTGATCCATTCACACACTTATATTTGGTAGGCTATCAAGACCACAAACTTTTATTAGGTATGACATATGGTAGCAGAGAAGGTACAGCTTGGCAGTTTCCGTTCATGCAATATTCTTGGCAGGAGATGTGCATTGCAGTGCAAAATACCAGCCAAAAGGTCCTTATGAAAGATTTCCTCCTAAGCCTACACTGTCAGACCATATACTCTGAAAAGGAAGTACCAGATTAATCCTTATCCTTTGCTTGTGTGGAAGATGATGATTTAACTGAGATGGCTCTTTCTCCTCAAGGGTAGTCTTTTCCCAAAATCACAAGATTTTAAGACAGGAAGAGACCATGAAGATCAACTCATTTGATTATTGCACAGTGCATGTTGCATATCACTGGGCAGGATCAGCTTCCTCAGCCTTCCAGCTCCCTGAGCACCCGGGGAAAAGTTCACAGACTCATAAATATAGTCCCCCAGCCAAGCCCTTCACGTATTGTTTCTGTAGAAAGCACTGCCACACTGAAGGTGCATAAGCAGAGCTAGAAAGCTTGTGCATCTCATTTCACTGTGTGCACCACCAAATCACAGCCCACAAACTCCATGCAGTTCCTCATATAGTTCTGGAGGAGTTTCCTGGCTCCAGTGCAGACATCGTCTCCTGTCCAGAAGGACCAGCACTGCCAATATTAAATAGAAAAAAACCCACATGAGACAAGAAATGCCTTTTTAGTGTCTTGTTTATTTGCATGTAATGTGGCATTTCTTGCTCATGGTCATCAGGAGGCAGTGATTCTGACAATCATTATTCCAACATTTTAAATCTAGAGGAAAAAAAAAGAGAAGGTTTTAAAATGGAAAAAGTTTATACAGAAAACCCTAAAATATTAATTTAGAATATTAATAGATTTTGAAAACAATTTTCCAGCCCAGTATATTGCCTCAGAGGTTGTTGCTTAAGGGGCTTGTTAAATATTTCTGCATTGTTGCTCCCTTGAAGGTTTACCTCGAGGATAATTGAAACTTTGGGATACTAGAAAAAGAAGTGAGGGACAGAAGGAAGAAAAGATCATATATACTCACATTGTTAGGCAATAAAAGTATTTCTACCATATTTCCAATAAAAAAGTAGGTCTCGTGGAAGGAGAGGTGTGCATCCGGTTTTAGGTGATAAAAGGGAAAGGAGGAAGTTGTGTTCTTGTACTAAATAAATCCCTCTTCCGCTGAAAGGCACCAAGGTGGGTAAGGTGATTTTCCCAAGTCCTTTTGGTTGCAGAGCCACCTATCTACCCCACCTTCCTCAAGCTCTTGTCATCTCTCCCTGTCCCTCACCAGTTTCACCCTCTTTCCAAGCCTAGAGCACTAACACTTCCTGCTGCAAAATTCTGGCAAGGAATTAAAACCCTGACATACTCAGCACTGATCCAGATTCTCCCAGACTGAACCTTACAATGGAAAAGCAGAAGGTGCCTGGGAACAAGGAGATGTTCAGTACCCTGTGCTAAACTGGGTACATGCTGCAGTGAGGAGAGAGGAGTAGAAATAGCAGTATTGCCAGGAAGGGGCTTCAAAATGTCCCACCTGGTGCCTTAGCATGCTTGGTGGCTTGCATCCTTGTCACTGTCTGCTTCTGAACAGGGAACAGGATCACACAGGTCCCTTCAATGGCCAGCTTTCCAAATCTGGGCATCCAAAGCCAAGTGTTCTACTCCATGTGTAGGCACCTAAATTATATCAGTTGTACAGATGAGACAGCAGTAATTAAGAGACAATGACATGCCTAAGTACGCTTTTGTGGTTTGTGCTTTCAGTGATCAGACAGCTGAGTTTGTCTTTTCCTCCAAGGTGCATCATTTTAGCTCCTTACAGCACAACCAAACATTCAGCTTCCCCCAGTAACATAGCTGAAGGATGCAGTGGATTCTCCCACGTATGAATTTCCTGTGTAATAGAATGGTTTGGGTTGGAAGGGACCTTAAAGGTCATCTAGTTCAACCCCCTGCCATGTGCAGGGACATCTTCCAGTAGACCGAGTTGCTCAAAGCCCCATCCAGCCTGGCCTTCCAGAGATGGGGCATCCACAACTTCTCTGGGCAACCTGTTCCAGTGCCTCACCATCCTCACAGTGAAGAATTTCTTCCTAATGTCCAATCTAAACCTACCCTCTTTCAGTTTGAAGCCATTCTCCCTTGTCCTGTCACTACATGCCCATGTCAAAAATCCCTCTCCAGCTCTCTTGTAGCCCTTTCAGGTACTGGAAGGCTGCTATAAGGTCTCCCTGGACCTTTCTCTTCAGGCTGAAAAACTCAAGTCCCTCAGCCTGTATTCACAGGAGAGGTGCTCCAGCCCCCTGATCTTCTTTGTGGCTCTCCTCTGGACTCTTATGATGTATTCTGTTAGACACTGAACACATTTTTTTGCAGCTGCAAGCAGGAGGTGCAGACCTCAGCTCAGAAGTGAAGAAGGGTCTGGTGCGCAGCATAGGAAGTGTTGCCCATGGCTTAGCGCAGGTTGCTGGATGGTTACTGGAGTTTTCACAGGTCAGAGCTGTCGGCAGCATCCAACACCGCAGATTGCTTTCAACAGAGAAGGGATCACCCTTCAGTTCAGGCTCCGTCTATAAACTTTTGCTGAGTGTTTCCTTTGTTTTGGTTTATGGCTTGGCATTTCTTTCTCCTGCACAGTCTTCCACCCCGTGGAGTGTTCCTACTGCCACAGTGAGAGCATGATGGGGTTTCGCTACCGCTGCCAGCAGTGTCACAATTACCAGCTCTGTCAGGACTGCTTCTGGAGGGGCCATGCCAGCGGTTCCCACAGCAACCAGCACCAAATGAAAGAGTACACGTCATGGGTAAGGGAAGGCTTGCGCCTCGCTGCAGACTGCTTTGCCCTCCAGCCAGCAGAGAAGCCCCCGGCCGCAGCCCTGGGCATCTGCCTGGCACAGGGGCGCCGGGAGCCAGGCTGCTGGTTTGGATCAGCAGCCCTGTGCGGGAGGCTCTGGCTTTGGGAGCCATCGGGAGAGCGTGGAGGTGGGAATGGTCTTTTCTGGGTGAGGATCTGGGGCGCCTGTGACGGTGTGTGCCGCGGTGAGGGCAGCGCAGGAGGAGCTGGCAGCAGGGCACCAGGCTCATGGCAGCTTCTCCCGTTCCCACAGGACTCACGGTAAAATTGTCATTGGCTTGCTCTGTTTGGCTACGTGTAAATGAAGTGATGAATACTTAATGCTCATTCATCAATATTTTCAGTTGAGTGGCTGCAGCATATGCGTAGCATTTGGGATGATCCTGGCAGTGGTCACAGGAGTAGATCCGCAGTAGTGTTTACTATAGAGGAAAACACTTCAGTCTTTTTGTTGTTAATCAAAATAATGCAGTGTTTTTCTAAGCTGAAAGAGAAGTATCAGCAGCTATATTAACCTTCTCTGAAGGGCATCAGACCAGGGGACTAAGCTCTCCATACACTGGAGCAAAGCCCCAACAGAAGTCATTGGTCACACAGCATCGCAGTCCTTCAGGGCTCAAATCCAGAGACCGGCAGAGAATTCCTAACTGATCTCAAACATTTCCATAGTACATTGTTTTTAAAAAAAAAGAAAATTATGCATAAAAACTATGCATGTAGTAACAGCTCACATTTGTGCAATATTTTATGTGAATTTTTTAATGAAGTTCTGAAGCTTAACCTTTTAAAATGTCTGGTTTTCTGTTGATGCAACAGGCAAGGGTTAAATTTGATGTGGTTTGCTCTGTATGCCAGTCATACAGCCCTGCACTGTATCCCAGCAGACCTGGGTCTGTAATTGGTTTTGTGGGACCTAATTGCTGCTTGTTGCATAGACACAAATGGCTGGATTTCAGTTTCTGAATAGGAGAGTGCCCACTGTGTAACTCTGACTCCATTCCTAACAGCAATTTGTGCTATAGAATCATTTTTGCTGTAGCCAGGGAGCTGTAATTATAGGTAGGAAGTAATTGAAAAACTTAAGATTTCTGCTCAGTAGAAGATGAAAACGTGACTACATGCCTAGTGGTTTCAAATGTTTCCTTGTCAGAAACAAATGTTTTGCTTCAGGTTTGAAATTACCTTTCTGTAGTGTTCATTAGCATTTGTTCAAACCTGTTAGCTTTCTCTGTAATGCAGCTGTATGGAGCTCCCTGTGCAGATTGAAGGTATTCATTGGTGCAGTGGAACTCAACTGTTCTCAATTCAGAGTGAAGTTGTGTTTATAATGAAGGAGAAAGAGCCTGAACTTTACATATTTAAGTTGAATCTCTGTAATAGAAATACTTCATTTTTGACTTGATTATAGTCATAAGACAATGCAAGATGTGTATGCACAAATACAATACCCTTCCTGTCAAGTTCCAAAAAGATTTTTAAATTTTAGCTCGGAGGGAGGAGGCAGTGTAAGGATCACTACCCTTTTTTACTGTCAGAGAAGCTGAATCACAGAGAGGTGGGTTGGATTCCCTGAGAAGCTCTCACACAGCCTAAAAGACACCTTAGATCTCCAAGCCCTTCCTTAGAAGAGAAGTTGAGTTTGCTCCTCAACTGCAAAGAGCCTCCAAACAGAAGTAGAAAGCAGAAAATACTGATCTATTTTTTCAGACTTGCTGATGGATTTCAGGGTGAAAAATCATGCTTCTTGCACAGAGCATCCCCATATTTTGGTGCAGTGACAGTATCTCAGCCTCTTTTGGTGGGCTGTCACCACAGTGGGGCAATTCCTACCATGACCATGTCTCAAATTTCCCATTCCCCAGTGGACATAGGAGGTGGAAGAGGAGCTTTATAATAGCATCTAAACAGTACAGGGTTGTGGAGGTGAGGAGGGAAATACTACTGAGAGGAAAGAATATAGCAGCCTTGTGCCTGGCCCATGTCTAGGAAGGAAAAGGTGTCCTATACAGTATATCTGCATGGACAGGCATACACATACACGTTCTCCTTGCACTCCCAAACTGCTGAGGTACAAGCTAGCAGCAGTCCAGGTGACACTACCTGTGCTGTCCTTTGTTCAATTCTGCCTGAGTGTGGCGTTTCAAAAAAGCCATGGCAACTGCATCTGCCCCTATAGATACACCCCCTGAGCCTCCTCTAAAGGCTGCTGAAGGTAAGGGTAATCTTGCCTCCAAAGGGAGCAGTCTTTGCCTTACCAGACTCTTGGAGTGGGAGGGGGGCAAGGGGGATGTCAATTCATAGGTATGTAAGCTGTAGAGCTTCCTGTTGTTTTGTGCTTCCTATAGCAGAAAGAGTTTGCACCTTACTTGTCCAGATTACCTCTACCTTCCTTGTTCCTCCCAGAAATCACCTGCTAAGAAGCTAACTAATGCACTTAGCAAGTCTTTAAGCTGTGCTTCCAGCCGTGAACCTTTGCACCCAATGTTCCCTGACCAGCCTGAAAAACCTCTAAACCTGGCTCATATTGTGTAAGTATCTGTGTGCTGTAGACAAAGTAAGCTTTGTTGTAGGAGTTGCTTACATCACGTGTAGATACTATAGCTCTGAACAAAACAGGAGGCAGCTGTGGCTTATCCAGCTCAATGCATCACAAGTGCAAATTTGCTGATAGGGGTATTTAGTATAAAAGTGTTCTTCTGTTGTGACTTCACTTGAAACGTCAGTGGGATATATATATATATATATATACACAATCAAATACTGGGACACAATGTTGGCATGTCCCCATTCTCCTCAAGAGACCTCCATGCAATGTCAGAGTTTCAGCACTTTGTGATGTATTCATGCTGATAATATTAGCTTTGTCATCTAGAGTCTCTCAGCTTCAGTGTATCACAGGTATGTCTTGACACAAGGCACCAGAGAATAGTGAAACTGGACCAATTTTGTTGAAACTAGTGTCAGAGTTCTCACTGACTTCAGTGGAGCTGTGACTTCACCTAGTCCTGAAGAATTATATGAATCTGCCTAAGAACTGTGTCTTGAACTGCCAAGTCACTTGAAGAGAGTCTATTATTGTTACATTTTGATACTTTGAGACAGCAAAATTATTTTGTGGTACAGTGGTTTGTGTCACTACTGGTTTTTTCCCTGCAGGAGTCAAGAAACTCAAAGCAGAGACAAAATGTACTTGTGCATTTTGGTGGGTGGGGTGGAGAATTTATCACTTTGGATTATTTTTTCTAAAGCATGTCAACCATCCATAGTGGCAGTTGCTCAGATTTTCTCATTTATCAGCTTGGTTTACTTTTGCTTCCTGGGTCCTAAAAAAAAAAAAAGAAAAAAGAAAAAAGAAAGAATGAAAGAAAAAACATTAAATTTTCCAAAGAATTCAAGAAAAATCAAGACATTGAAGCATTTCAGGCAGCAGCTATTAAAGTTGTATTTGCATGCTGCATATGTGTCACTGGCTGCTGGAACTAGTCCAGTCTGTAATCGTGATAAATACTTAACTTTTGTCAGTACTGAATAGTTGTATGTAGCATCTTTATGGGCAAGTGCACACCAGCCATTGTGGGCTGTGCAACACCTGGGAAGTTCACCTAACCTGCCTGACATTTTAAGGAGAAATGCTGAAGGTCTTCCACTTGTGGCTATAGCAGAACTTTCTCAAGGTGTAAAGGAGTGCTCTGCTCTTCAGAGACAAGGTGCTCTGACAGATACATAGTGCCAAATCCCTGTTATGCTCAACTGTCAGTCATAACCCCTGCACCTCTTTATGGAGGAGTAATGGGAGGTTGTTGTTCCTGGGAAGAAAGGACACGGAGTTGGATCTACTGAGCTACCACACTGCTGTGCAGGGTGTAAAAGGCTGGCTCTGCTGGCAAGTGAGTGATGATTTCACAGGGCAGATTTTGGCCATCCTTAAGGGAAATGGAGAGACAGAGAGCTTGAAACAGAAAGAGAAGCCTCTGTTCTGTGTTGGCTGGAGGCCCTTGGAGGCCTGGGGGTATGTCAGAAGATAACGGGTAGTGAAAACTGGGCTACTGTGAATGGATTAAATGCATTTAGGCAAGGCAAGGGGAAGGTACCATAATTGAGTAGGAAGTGATCCAAATCTCTGCTGTGAAATTAACACCTTCCTTTATTCCTAACTATACAGACATAATTTAGAGTGATTGGATGTGAGAACAAACCACCATCTATTTTGTTTTGTGACAGAGTTTCTCTTTATTCATAGATTGATGATAATACAACTTAGCAATGTATATTGGCTATAATGATATGTGAGTGAAAAAACTTGTAAGTTGTGGAGGTAGCATGATCTGCAGCATAATTCACACAAATTTAACTGAGGGGAGAGATATGCTACAGAACCTCATTGAGAATATCTTCTCGCTGGTGTGATTTTTATTTTTAAACATAATTGAAGTTGAGAGAAACAGCTCTGGGCAGGAATCCAGGCAAAAAGGGTTTTATATGTGCATTAAATGGAAGGATTCTGGCAACAAAACAGCATTCTTTTCTTAGCTTCTAGCATAAATGGGGACAAGTGCTCCCTGCATTACTATAGAGACTCTCATTTTTATAGTTCTTCCACCTTTGAGGGGCACCAAACAGAAAGATTGCATTGTGGTTTTTGTTTTACTGGTGCCACACAAAATTTTCAATTATGCGAGAAACACAAGGCCTCATCTAGAGAAGTAGTTATCAAGGTGTCATAAATGTGATGGTAGAACTATCCCCACCAGTGGAGGGATCATTTTTCCTTTCTATACATAGGGTTAGCAACATAAAAGGAAGAAACTCCAGACTGCAGAGATGACAAATGGCATAGCCAGTGCATCATGCAGGTATTTTTCAAACACATTATGCACTGGCCTGACTTCGTTTCCATCTTAAGCCTGTGGGAGCATTATTTTTGACATCAGTGTGAACAGGTTAGACCAGCCAGGAGCACTATGGAAAATTCCTCCTATTTAATTTGGTTTATCACTGTGGGTATGTTATGCCATGACGTGCTTTTATTACATAACATATTTCAATACCAGAGGTTTTTGTCTCCTTGAGGAAAGCTAATTGAGTATCATCAACTCACTTTTATCATAAAGCTTAATCACTCACTTCCAGAAGTTTAGAAATAACCTCAGAAATACATAATTGATAGTCAATAGCTGAGTTTTCCTTTGCTCTGCCATAAAGTCTGCTGTTGTGGTCTTACCACATCACACAACTGTGTGTATCTGAGCAACCTTTTGATACTCAAGTGGAACCTGAGGAATGTAACAGTGGACATCAGCCTTTGAGAAACTTGCCTTGGGAAAGCTCCAGATTAGTTTAATATCATTTGCTTCATGTAAGACTTGACAAACTAATGCTAATCGCAACACCTTAGCAAAGCCTCGGAGTTTATAGGTGTTTGTACATAAGAGTAACTCTGCATATGTAAACAGATCAATGGCCTTTTTTGCATAGAGGCTCTTAGGCTTTTTGCAGAGTCAGGGTCATAAGAATGGAGTGTGTCCAACGTACTACTTAGACCATGTACATTTTAAACTGACAATTTAATTAATGGTCTCTTTTCCATTTTTTTTGGCTGCAAAAGAGATACTTGGTGAGTATTTTTCTTCTTTAGTACACTTACTGGAGGAAGAAGCTTGGAAAAAAATGTGATAATTGCAGTATTACCAATCTTTAACTTTATGTCAGAGTCCAGAGTCAAATAAATGATTGTTCTTGAATAAAGAGACAGTGAAAGGGAAGAGCTCTCTTTGGGAGTAGATATTTTCTGATCCACCCCTATTTTGAGTTAAAGCTTAGAATCACTGAATCTTTTAGGTTGGAAAAGACTTTTAAGTCAAGTCCAAGTGTTAACCCAGAGCTGCCAAGCCCACCACTAGAGAAGACACTAACCTGGAGCATGTGCGTGGTGATCTACTGAAGTCCATGGGTGCCCCATGTCCACTTGGGAGAACTCCTCCTGCCTCTCTGTCTGGGGCAGTGTTGAGAACCAGCCTCTCTGCCCTTCTCCTGTGCTGTTTAGGACTCCACAGCCCAGGGTCAGACCCATCCTTCAGGAACCTCAGCCTGTGCCCAGTTAGTTTTTGAATGTGTTCACTGGCCAATGACTGCATTGAGAAAAAGAAAACTGCAGTAGTTGCATGAAGTTGCTGTGAACTATTTCTCTTACATCAATTACCAGTTTACAATTCTGAGGCAACAAAATACCCGTTGCTTACCCATTAAATACAATTAATTTCTTAGTATTCTCTTGAGATATATTTCCAAAACTCTGTATTTCAAGATTCATCCTACAATGACCTTTCCAGTGGATTGGCTCTGATCATGGTCTCATCTGAGCTCTTCCTAGTTCTGATGGAGTCTGTGAAAACTAATATTAAACACTGCTCCATAGGTGCATGGAGGGCAAAATGCTGCTTCTCAAATCCGTGACTGACCAGATCTGGAGGTTTTCATGTGGTTCTGCAGATGCAGGGCTCGGCTGAAACTATATTTCCATATAAATAAATAAATCAGAATAATAGAATTTTAGGGGTTGGAATAGACCTAGCAGATCATCTAGTCCCAACTCCCCCTGCCCTGGGCAGGGACACCTCCCCACTAGACCTGGTTGCTCAAGGCCTCATCCAGCCTGGCTTTAAACACTGGTTGGGGCATGCCAAATCCTACCTCTTTGTGTTCACAGTTTTAAACTTCTTAAAATCAATGTGGCATTGTCATGCTGAGAAATCCATTTGGACTTATCAAATACCATATTTATGCCTGTTTTCTAACAAGTTGCAAAACAACATATATAGTCATAGTTCACTTCTGTGCAGAACTGGCTTTGTTAATTTCTTACAAATGCTTTGGATGACCTGTAGTCTTGCATAACTGGAGCCCAGTGAATATTTGCAGATAGGTAGTATATTTTGATTTGCATATCTGCAGAATTCAGAAAGCAAGATAGATCTTTCACAGAGCTTAAAGGGGATATTAACCAACTTGAAATCTAGGCATTTTGAAGTCTGAATTATATGTGGCTTCAGGTTCTGTTCATATCTGATTAAAAACCCTGTGATTTTAATAACTTACTTTTTAGTTGTTCCAGAATGTCTAGATCTTTTGCCCAATGTTGCATAAGAAGTCTGTTAAGAAGGGGAAATTTCACCTTAATGGATACAGAAGGAAAAATTATGCACAAATTATTTTTTAAGAGCAGACAATAAAAGAAAGCAGAGGAAATATTCCTTCTCATTTATTTTTTTTTTAAAGCGGGAAATAAAGAATTTAATAAGAAACCCATCATTATTAATAGGTGCTCTTAAACTAGATACTTACTCTAAATTTTGACTTGGGGATTTGATATACCAGTTTAAAAGCTTTGCCGTTAAACCAGTTTAGTTCTACATGTATTTTACGGGATGCTGAGTGCTATGGGTACAATGTGGTCACTACGTGGATGTGGTAGCATGGAGCTTAGCACCAGAGATAACCTCATAAAAATATGTGTCATTTTTGAGGGGTTAGCCCCTGCAGACCCCCCTGCTGCCACAGCAATCCAAGCACCAGTGCTCATCCTGGCTGGCTGAGAGCAGTGACTCGCCCTGGGCTGTTGTCTCTGGAAGGGAACAATGGCATAGTACTTATTTTGCCAAAGCAGGGAAAAAAATCCAAGCAAGCTGCTTAAAACTCACCTCAGAACATGTAAAACTATTATTTTCCTCCAGGTCTAAGTATCAGTATGGGGGTTTTATCAGCTTCTGCTTAAAAACATGGCATTTGTAATTTGGAACTATTGCTGCATAAAGCAGAAGATGCCAGTTACTTTAAACAAGACTCATTCTGTTCTCCATAAATACTGTTGCTGATGCAGGGGGTTTTGGTGCAAATTAATTATTACTAATTATTATAATTAATTATTTTGCCTTCTAGGCCTCCCCGACCTGTAACCAGCATGAATGACACACTCTTCTCCCACTCCGTTCCCTCAGGAAGTCCCTTTGCCAACAGAAGGTGAGTTGTTATCCTTATTTGTGGTACACAATTATATGTTAGTGATGGAGTTTTCAATTCCCTCACAAAGTAAAATTAAGAGACATGAGCAGAGAATGCCTAGATTATTTTGGACTGGTACTCAGACATCTGGATGGAGACCTGGAGTTAGGGCACCCCAAGGTCCTCACAGCAGAGCACTGAATTTCAGCTCTCATTTGAATGCACCATTACAACCCAACTAAAATGTGCAACCTAGGCACTTCCCATAGGGACTGAAAATGAGCTGTTGGTGAGAAGCCATTTTGTAGCAGCACTATGGGAATAGGAACTGGGACACACCGTTGCCTACTGGGAATGTCTGCATCATACTGCAAGATATGGTATGAGCAAAGAGAAAATTTGTTCATACTTGCAAGATATAGCACGACATCCTTATTCCTGTTAAACTATCCTGTTTTTCATTAAAGGCTACAAGAGAGAAGGAGTAGTTTTGGAATATGGGGACTGACCCTTCAGTAGACAAATTAGGGAAGAGTCATCAGGAACACTGTTCCCAAAGAGGAGGTGCTTGCAGCTGACCTATGTAGATCCTGATTCATTATTTTGGCTCACACGCCAAATACGTGTGCAGTGTTTGCTAGCTATCTGACCCAATCTATGTATGCCTACCAATGCACATAGATAAAAAGGTGGCAGGAAAATAACTTCCTGCTGTATCAGGGAAGATGAGCAATATGTCTTCTTTGAGTGCATTTTATTGCTTGGTTCCTGCTGCATGTGTCAGTGCTTCAGTATTCCCAAATGACTAAACACAATCTCTGGGTTTGCATAGCTACATATTTTAACACCAAAACCAAACCCACAGTGTACACTGCAAAATTAGATTAAAGATGGTTTGATACTACTCGATTTATGAATTTTGTTACCAGGAGCTATAAACTGTAAACTCTCAGTGTTATCTTAGTGCAAGTAGCTGCTGGGTGTGACTGAGGTGCTTTCTGAAAGCCAGTTGCAAAGCAGCCTGCAAGACCAGATCTGCTGCCTACACAGTGAGGCTGCAAATGCAAACTCATTTCTGTTGTTGGAATACATGGGGGTTTATGTGCAAGGGAGGATAACGTATTTGTGGAGATCATTAGGAGTGTAGCTGTTGCTTCTGTTTATCCCCAAGAAGTCCCTGTGCTCCTTCAATAAAAGTATTCTTTGCCCCTTAGACCAGGGACCTGCAATAATAATCTCAGCACTGTCTGCTATGCTGCTTGTTTTTGTTTACATGTAAAAATACTTTTGTCTTCTTTAGTAACTGACTGTCTTTATCTGTCAGGATTAAACAGACATGTTTCCTGAGGTATGAGAATTCCTTTTCTTCTAGGAAAAATTCCTTGATGAGAAAGGATCCTTTAAAAGCAGGAGACAATAGCTGCCCCCCCAACCATAGGTACCCAGACTTCCTTATAAGCGGATAGTGTGATATCCTTGTGTAGCAAAAGGTTTCCATGATGCAGCACTCATTCTGGCTCTTCTAGAGTTAACAGTACCCCAATACAGAAAAGAATTACATAACTTGTATATTAAAAGTTTTGTAACTTTTGTTTCATTGACCTAGCAGGATTTTAAGTGTTTGGCAGCTTATTCTCATTGCTTTTATTTTCACCTCATAAATTTAATTTGCATCTCTGTTTTTGAAAGAAAAATCACCCTAGGAACTGTCAAGTCAGTATCCTTTCTAAATAAATTGGATTAGCTGTTACAAACCTGCTCTGAACACTCTGCTCTCTGTGTGTACTTTTCGAGATATTAACAAGGTTTCATTGTTTGAATCATTCAGGTTACTTGGGGGTATAAATGCAGCCAGTCCTGTGGCTGATGAGCATTCTCTTATAAAGCTGTATGTAAATCAGCTTCACAACAACTCACGGTCAGTATGAGAGCACTAACCTACTAATCGCCGTAGTTCTGTAGCTCATACACTAATCATTAGCAATTCTGCTAAACTACTCAAGATGTTCTTTAAGGAAGGCTCTGATGGGATAGAGGGTTTCTGTGGCTCTAATTAATCATTTGAATAGACTTCCTGCTGGCTGTGGGCTTTGCCAACTTCTCTTGCTTCTGCGCAGCACAAGTCTTTCATTTTATGCTTTCACGTAGGATTAATATTAATGTGGCTAGTGAAAGTTGGAAACATTGCTTTTGAAAACTGAAAAAAACTACACCTTTATGGTTTCATCATCGGTGTATGACTTGCCTGCTGTAACCAAGGAATGAAAGAGGCTTGCACAAAAGCTTGGAAAGTACTCCAGGTCTCACAGCCTCCTCCTCCACGGCTCTCACTACTGGTGGTTACTGTTCTGCAGTCAGTGCTGCTTGCCAATAACCCTCCCCAGACCCCTTTGCTTTGCTTTTCAAAATGACCACAGGAAAGACAGATCTAAATCCTTCTGAAGCTAAAGAAAACTTCCCATTTACATAGTGAGCACTGGATTTGGACCCATGCCTCTGCTTGCTGCGGCCTTTTTCCAGCATTCCCTCTCATCTCAGTGACCTGAAGGAAGATCCTATTTCATTCTGCATAAAAGAAATACGCAGTTGGATAAAACCAGTTTCCCCGTTTTTTTTTTTACTGAGTGTAATGACCTTTCTTTTCTTTCTTTTTCTAATTAATCCATAAGTATTAGCTATAGTTCAGTAAGAATTAGAGAGACCAAGGTAATTTCTGCTAAATGCCAAGTTCTTCAGTCTGTATTAGACTAATAACAGTGTCTTCATTCTTTTAGGTTTTACTGTTATTATTGCCCTGGGAAAATCAGGCCTCATTAGTGGAAGCTCATCCTCTTGTACATCAGAGAAACAGACTTTGACAGCCCTGTTTGCAGTTGTGCTGATTTAATATTAAATAACCCATGATTCATATGATAATAAAAATTGTACAAACTCAGGGTAAAAAGTCTAGATGGACATAATCAGCACTAAAAGCTCTGCTGGCTGTGTTTTCACTGCAGATGACTTATGGTTACTTTAATTTGTGTTGCAATCTAGCCCAGAGGTTTCAGATAGCTTTAAAAAAAGCTTTTATGTAATAAGAATGTTTATTCAAAGGAGAATTGGCAGAGAATGTCATTCACAGCACTCCCATGGTATTTATTTCAGCTAGTTGTGTTCACATAAGAACATAGCCACTGCAACCAGTTTCTCCCTGTGGCAGCAAATGCTAAATTCAGTACACCAGCTCATTCTGCTGCTGGAAGGGGATACCATCTCATGAGTTCAGCACTATATCATCTTCATTTCTGGCTTCATGGATGAAAACTGGAAATTAACTGGGAAGAAGAAGAATCTTGTTAATGGAAAGATCATAGAATTACAGAATGTCTGTGATTCTAGGATAAGATCTTTGGTAACTGGTAAATACAGTGACAAATTGTGGGGAACAGCTGAAAGGTGATTGAACATTATATGCTATTTGCAGTTTAATTGCATCTGAAGCATCAGGTTTGGGTGGGTACACAATTATTCCAAAGCTCAAAGAAAGTTGGATTCAGGCTTTCCCTAAGATACTTCAGTTTCTTCAAGCTGCTTTAAAATCAAAGTCCACTTAAAATTTCTCTGCTTTGTTTGCAGAGACCAAGTCCATAAGAGAGCTTTAATGAGGAGATTGGCACCTTTCTTCTAAATGTATACAGTGTGGAAATTGGTATCAACAATATGCTCTGTACATCTCAAAAACAACTTTAAAGCACTTATGTTAGAAAAGAAGACACAAAGACATCTGTGATCTTCTCCCGGATACCAAATCATGGTTGTTTGCTGCAATGACAGCTAACATGATTAAAACTACAAGTCGTGTAATTTTTTTACTGTAGCTAATACTCAGTTTTTATCCCCCCTTTGTTTTTGTGAGCTCTGATAACCTAGAGGGCAGCAGAAGAGAATATTGTTGCAGAGTAGGTAATACCCTTGCAAACCCAGTGAAATGGATATGTTACTTCAAAACAAGCAAATTGAGCATTATAGAAATTTTTGTCCCGTCAAGAGGAATAACTCTATACCCTGAATTAATATTTTCTCCCTTATTTGGGTACTTTTGTTCCTCAGCTGCAGTCTGTCAGTGCTGCCTTAAAATATATAGCTGCCATAGTATTGAGTACAATCTCCTCTTTCTTAATAAACTTTTTTTTGAGCTATTGAATTATTCAGTTTAGGTGGGATAAGATGAAAGAGAATGTTTTTTCTTGCATTTTTCTCAGCCCCTCCTTCACAGCTAATACATTTAGTTCTTCTAAAGGAGTAATAAACTGGAATAAATGGAATGATACAGCACATTCTGCTGAACTTGAAATCACTTGACAATTCAGTGGTAGATAGAAGGAATGCACTGTATTTTCAAATACCCATAGTCAAGGAGTAATTGAGTCTTATTTAATGCTGAGTCAGAATGTCTGGTGCCTTTTTTGTACTCCACATAAAAGCTAAAGAAATTGGCTATTCTACCTGTGCCTAGCAAGAGAGTAGGCAAAATTTCTGGACAACAGCTAACTTTGGAGGAAAACATACTGGTTGCTACTGTTCTCCACGTTTCTATCTGTAAGGAGTGTGGTAGATTTGAACTGCATGTTGCCTTTGCATGTTGTTTTCATAACAAGATGAGAATCCTTATTTCATCAGCAATATTCTACCTGCTGAAAGGAAAGGTGTCTGTGTTTGATTGTTTAGTAGCCAGGGTATGAGGGTATAACATTTACACCAGTATTGTTAAGTCTACATCTTTGTAGTCTTCTGCTCATAGTTGGAAGTTTTGTCTCTTTTTGGCACTTTTTGGCATCTTACAAAATGTTTCATTTTAGCAGGAATATATGTTTAAAATACCCGTTCCAGGTGGGAACTCACTGTGGCCAAAACAATCTCTGAGGTTTTAGTTGTATTTTGGTTAGTATGTGGAGGATACAGGAAGATGTGGAAGAAGAAGGACAAATGTCAGCTCTTCCAAATGAAGGAGGGTTGAAGGTGGAAACAGGGACAAAGATCGAAGAGATTATACAAGAGACAGCCTAACCTTCATATCCAAAGATACTGAAATTATCAAAGAATTAGTAAGCACCTGGAGGATAATAAACCAATGAGAAATAACCACCGTGAATTTGTCACGAACAAATTATGTCAGACTGAACTAATTTATTCCATTGATAGGCTAACTGGTCCAGTGGGTAAAAAAAAGAAACAGCAGATATGATACAGGTTGACCTTGAAAGGACTGTTGACATAGTCCCAGATGACACAGAAGTGCCTAAAGAAAATATGGACATGGGAAAATGAGTATAAGAGCAACACTGAAAGTCAGTAATCACATTTTCAAAAGTTTGCGGTCATTCCAGGAGGAGGGCATATCAGCTAGGATTCTTGAAGGCTGTCCTAAATCAGACACTGCACTATTTCTTGTAGTGACCAAATGGGAGCAATAGAGTGAGTGTGTTCAATTTGTGGATGGTACAAAAGGTTGAAATAGTTATGGGAAGGAGTGCTTGGAGAGCAGTTTCTAAATGAAAAAATGAGCTCAGTTACGATCATAGTAATTGATGTCCAAATGATCTGAAATCAATTAGAGGAAATTCAGTAATTAGAAGTGAAAAGTGCTGTAGCAAGGAAGCAAATAATCGAATAAAAGATGGAGCATAATTGGATGGACAGAAATATTTTTACAGAGGACCTAGCAGTTGCAGTGAACCACAAACTAATTGAAGTCAGCAGTATGATTGTTAGATTGGATCTGACCCTGGGACATCATGTGGAAAGCCATTAAAACTCATTCCCTGGAGCAGGAGACATCTGCCTGGAGGTTTGCACCCAGTGTAGGGCAACGGCATGGGAACAGATATGCTGACTAACATGACAGAATCCAGAGGTGACACCCAAACATCAGAAAAGCATAGAAAACTTCTTGTGGGAAGAGGATGGAAGATACAAGTTGCTTAACCAGCTAAGAAGGAAAGGGACATTGATAGACACAATACCAGTTGCTAATGAGTAGCATTTGCTGGCCTGTCTCTCCACCCCGTGTTGGTTCTGGAGAATAGGGGAGGAGAACGTGTGATTGGTAGAGGAAGCATCACACTGCACTGTTAGAAAGCAAGGCACAAAATCTGCCCTGGAGTCTTTGGTCACCTGTTCTGGCAACATATTTATCTTTAAGAACCAAAAGGTGCATTGGTCACCTGTTCTGGCAACATATTTAAGAACCAAAAGGTGCATTTTTTGGCTGAAATGGCACATCCTGTACCCCTTAAATGCATTTTCCTTCTGTAACTGGGAAGAAAACGTGTGGAAAACATATCCTTCTAGATGGCATGAAGCATGTTTATCCGCACGGGTATTGTCTCAGTGGAAGCACAACACACATAAGTAGCATGCTGATAGGTAGAGAAATGTGAAGCAAGCATTTTTTCTTGCTGTGCAGTACAGCATTTCATTCAGCTATCTTCCAGATTTATTATAAACCAGTAGGTTTGATTACTTAAGATGCCCTTTGGTCTCATCTTTTTCGGAGCCCCACTGCCAACCTTGCCCTCCCAAAAGGACAGGAATGTCATACATATCATCTCACTGAATTCCTTCTTTGTCCTAATACTAAATGGTTTGATCTTGAGTCCATTAGAACCACATCTGCTCAGATTTATCATGCATCACATTTGCGCAACATCACGTGCCTGTACACACACACAGACCCATACACCCCTGGATGTACAGGTGTGTGTGCTCACACACCCATGAGGTGACAAACCAAAAAATAAAGGTGAATACTTTCAAAAAAAGAAGAAAGTAAAATATTATTTTGTTCTGCTTTGTTGTTTTTTAAACCAAAACTACTGCAACATGAAAGACAAACTAGCTTTTCAAGCTCTCCCGTTTTTTGCCACTGTTATCTTTTTAACATGGATATTTAAGCATTGGGAAGGATGCAGTTACTGCAACCCATTAAATACTGTAATTAGGAAAAAAGGTGTTTCTGATGAACTATATATTATTTTACATCAACAGAAGTACAGTACTTCCGAAAATTCAACTGCTGCATCCCATCACTACATCTGAGTAAACATATTTCTATAGATTATTGGAATTCTCTCATGGTGAATGTGGATAAAAGCAATTTAGCTGTTATGGTAAAGCTTTCCCAGCTTGAAAGTGGCATTTGAGATGGTGTTTTTCTCGGACTCCATCTGGAAACTACACAAGCCTTCAGCTCTCCATTTGTGAGAGAAGCACGTTCTGTTTGTCATTCTGTAGTGAAGGCTTTATGCTTCGCTTTTGGGGAACAGGAGGGAACTTGTAATTCCTGATTTTTGCATTTCCTGAAGTTTTCTAAAATTTCTTTAAAGCTTGTATTGTTTTTTCTATTCAGTCCAGGGCACTTGAATGAGTTTCTCCAAACCCTGTTCTGTAATTAATTTCGGACATCACTGTTTACCCTCTTCTTAGTTTTCCTGTCTTATTAACTAGCTCTCCTTCCAAGAACACTGAAGTAGAGCAGAGCAAACTGCTGGCTAGGGCTGCTCCAGCTTTCTTGAAAGGCAAAGGGTAAGTTACAGAGAGAGTATGTTCCTAACTTGCACTAACACAGCTAAACCAAAACCTCTTCCTCTACTCCGCCCATTTTTATTGTTTTCTAGAAACATCTTTCCTGAGAAGACTGTGATAACCAATTAACCAAGTGAGCCTAGTAGGGCATGCTCAATATATTTATATACACCTGGATGCATGAGATCTTGATCAGACAAGAAAATCCAGCTTGTGCATTCAGTATGTCAGTTGTGTGTTACATATCTATATTCCATGTTTATATGCAATACATAGTATATTAAAATAAATAGTGCTGACCTCACAATTTGCTGTATTTTATAATAAATGGCACTGTACAGCTCCAGGCCCGGGCCCAACCTGGCATCTCAGTGATTTCTGAGGCTGGCTCTGTCATCAAATGGGATGCTACCATCCTAAGTCACTAAATACTAAACATATAAGTTACAATAATAACAAATTAATTTCTGCACTTGGTGTGGTTTTGTTTTTTTTCTCTAAGAACACTGAAGTATTTCACAGTCTCACTTGCTCCTGCTTTTCTCTATCTCTCTGTGTGTCTGGCTTGCACCTCTTTCCCCACCCCTGTTCCAGGTTGCAGTACAGCCTCGATGTTGCAGACAGGCTGGCTGATGAACATGTGCTCATCGGGTTGTATGTCAACATGCTACAGAGCAACCCCGCATGGTTAGTGCAGGTTTGGCACCTTTGGGGGGCCCAGGAGAGGGACATTGGTCAGCCAAATGCTCTCACTGTTTTCTCCTGGCTACAAGCTGAAGCAACTCTTTATGAGCACTAACCTAAAGAGAATGTGTAGGAATATGGGGTATGTCCTGCCAAACGGTGGATTGGGGCAATTGCTGTTACTCTGTCTAGTGGTGCTGGCAAGGGATTGCTAAGTATTGCAAATAATTGGCTGGCAAAGAATGGCTAAACAAATTGATGTGGGATGCTGCTCTAGGCAGTGCAGGACTTGGTGATGGTACAGAAATCTTCACACAACTGTGATTAACAAGTCCATGTTTTCAAGGTATTAATTTTTGAGGTGATATATAATTTGTAGCTTCACCTTCCTTGAGAGTAAGAAATGGCAATAGCACATAAATAATGATAATAATAATTTGATTATTAACCTAGAGAAAGGAGTTCATTTTCATTTTTACATATATCAGGCATTGTTTTTAAATCTGCCTGAATTCTGTATTGTTTGAATCTTGTATATGAATTTTCCCTTATCTCATTCAGACTCAAGGTTTTTAAATGGGTGTCTTGAACATAGTTTATTGTTTCTGCTGGAGTGATTATGGACCTTTGGCTACTAAACCCACCAGCTGTCCTGGCACTTGCAGATGGTGGCGTTGCAGTAGGCCACCCCAGAGGGGAAAACTCTGGCTCAACTCTCCAAGTGGAACAGAACTCAAGACTTTGCAGCCCTGTACCAGCAAGGTGGTGAGCAGTGTGGTATATGGCCCTAGAAAATGTGGTGCTGAGCAGAAAACTCTACAGTGTTTCTAACAAAACTATGCTCATGAGGTTTCTTTTGCTGCTAACAAACCCTTTGGTTTCCTGTACTGCTAGTGCAGATTATTTCACAGGTCAGGAAAAAGTCCATTTGCTCTTAGTATGTGGAAGGCAATAAGCAACTTCATTTTGAATGGTGAATGTGGTGGTTCTCTTCAGCCTTACAAAGTTCACTTCTGTCTGTAGCTCCTATTGAAAATGAGAATAATTTGTCATGCCCAGTGGATAAAAAAGTCTGTATTGTTTTGGATCTGCTTCTCTATTCTGTAGCACACAGGAATGTGCCAGTGGGGAGAAAAAAAGCAAACTAGTTTTAGTGAGGAAAATGAAAACCATTTACTCAAAACAAAACCATTTTCAAGGGGAGTTTCACTCCTGAAGAAGCACTTCCAGAAAGCAGGCTTGTGGAGGAATATTTACACTGTGGCTGTGAGAGGAAGCTGTTTGGGACATGTGTGTAGACCAGTCATTGCCCGTTTGTGATTGAGGACAGGAGTACACTACCGCTCGCTCTGGTTCAACAGGGAGAAGAAAATGTGGCCCTGATTGATATGGTTGTTCAAGAGGAAAGCAGAGAATGGACATGGTTTAGGGTATCTCTTGGTGTTAGGCTTGAATGCCATATCTGTGGTTCATTTAGCTTAGGCTCCTCACCAGGTCACTTTGTGAGTGCCTAGTTTCATATTTACTCTTTTCATCCTCTGAATTTTGTTCTATGTATTCCAACCTGTTCCCTCAAGGTTTTGAGCCAACCTCACCAAGTCACAGTACGTTTGTATCCAAATACGCACATACAAATTCTGTGCCATAACATCCAACATTTATTGTTTTTGAGGAATGAATGGAGAGTGACTAATAATGGCCTTAATTGTTTAAGCAACTGATGCAAAGTGTAGTACATATCATCTGAATACTGACATTAAATCACTGCAGTCACAGCATCCTGAATGAGGAATAATCTGTTATTTGTATAAGATACCAATTAGATTTTGACAGAAACATAACCAAGAGGGACAGCAATCTTAGTCATGCATCAGACCATGCTGCGTTGCCATTTTCTCCTTTGTTGGATTGAGACTGCTAGTAGAGAAAATGAATGGTTATATTTTGGTAAAGACAAGCAGAACAAAGTCTTGCCATCCTGAGGCTCCTGTGTGAAGTCAGTTTCCAGGAGGGGTAGGTGAGGCCTCTGCAGGAGGCTCAGCTGCTGTATCTCACATAGCCTGGGGTGGCATTTTCAAGCAAAGGTGAGCTCCTCCTGCCCATGCCCCAAAGTGTCTGGATGCAGTTTGCTCAAAACCCACACAATTGTGTAGAATAGTGCTGAGTTCAAGTTATTTCACCCTGGATCTTAACAAGATTTGGAACCCTGAGTAAAGCATGTAGTTAACCATAATCAGGTAGCTTCTGATTTAGGGGAGGCTGCAGCTGGGCAGTTCAGCTGTTGAATCTGCCTGCAAAATCCCACCTGCACATACCCAGACGTGCCAGCACATAGCTTCAAATGCTTCTGGCAGACAAAGATGAAAAGAGGAATTATTGTAGCTGGACCTTTATCTGCAAGAAAAACCTACAGAAATACTTTGTGAGCATAATACATAAAATTATCTTAAGAGCTATACGGTAACATTTCAAAACAAAAGGAGGTTTGGGTTTTTATAGATACTGAGTCAGGCTTATTTATAGTTGCTAATGATCGGTCCGATATAGCCCTGTATACCTTTTTTTTTCTGTTTTAAATGCAGCTAATATGTATATTTTGGGTTTTCTGGGGGGATTTAATTAATTTTCACTGCTTATTTTTCATCTGCAGTTATTTGATACTGCAACTAGAAGAACAAGTTTTCCTTTCCATCCACCACAGGCTAATAAGCTATTTGAGGGGTTTTTTAGAAGTCACTACTCCAGAGCAAATTAAGAAACAAAAGAAAGGATTAATACATTATTTATAGTTTACTGCATGGGTAGAAAAAGTATCCTTTAGCCAGATATTTTGAGTAGTTTAATTGTAAATTCTGGGTTCGTATGTAAAACCTATACTTGGTATTTAATTTAGTTCATCTTTAGTATCTGGTTTTTTAAAAAAAACAACCTTTTAACTGCAAATAGTTTTCCTTTTTGTAGGTTAGAGACTTTGCCTAGTTTTGAATATTAATTCCACATCTTTCAGTCTTTCTCTTTTCAGGTGCAGAAGAAAATAAGATACAATATATTAAAAGTATGAGGGGGGGGGTTTCCACAGAAAGCTATTTTCTGGAGTTTTTATGTTAGACTGTGTAGTACTGTGGTGAGTCGTGTACTATAAAAGTGCCATGCTATTCTTTGGTATTTTAAAAATGTTTATTAAGGGGGTGTGCACAACAACTAACTCTAGCTAGGAAGGCAGGTCTAATCTTCCCTTGAAAGAGGAAAAACATTCAGAGACCAACTGCTGCAGAGGAAACGTGTAGACATTTGGCTCCACTGAATGGAGGTAGTTTTTATGATTATACCCACATAACTGAATGTTGCTAACATTTTGGTGGTAAAACCTTGGTGGTTCTAAAGTAAATGGCAAATTAACAACAGCAGAGGGTTCAGATGATGTGTCTTGGTTTAAAGTGCCTTGAAACCAGGCCAGTTTTGAAGGTGTCATAGTTGAACAGTCCTCAGAATACATTTGGTGTGTTGCTGTTAGGCCATTGTTCTTACAGCCCTGGGGCTTAGAAACCTACCCTTTAATTTGTCTGTATTTTCTATAGCAAATGATTTATTAAGAAGAGGTTTGTAGAATAAGAGTATGCCATGAAGGCCACACTGGTATCTCTAGAGCAAAAATTTCACAAGAGACTTTGCTAACCAGTGGTGACATAGATTTTAAGACCAGCAGAGAACATCCATATTGGCTGTTGCAGGGTGCCTCCTGCAGAACAGGCTGGTTTGGCACATCTAAAGCCTGAGAAATAGTGAAGATCTGCCAGTGTCACTCATTTGCTCACAGGCTATCGTATTTTGCATCCTTTACCTGTAGTTTTTAGATCCCTTTTTTATGGATCTCCCTTACACCATAAAGGTCCTATTTTACAGGTGATAATATTGGACATTCACTCTGCGTATGAATGGTGATAGATGTGAGACCAATTATGGTTAATAATTATAAAGTCTTTAAAGAAATATTCACTAATGGAGAAGCAGTGTTAAAAGTGTTGTTTAAACTTTGTTAGAAAAGGAGGACCAGCAGTAGGATATTTGTATGCAAAATGTTCATTTTCTTTCAAAAGGATGCCTGAATCATTCCCTTGAGGGTCCCAAATTCTGCACACATATTCATAATACTTTAAATCTTGTGTGTATGACTGTCATACTGTATCACTGTATGAATATTCGTGATGTTGCTGAAGTAAAGCAGAAATGAATTATGGCAAATCAGAACTCTGAGACATAAAAGTCTTGGCAGTCGAGGCTAATGCTACTGTGCATACCTCTGTGCTTAATGGTCACATAGCATAAGTATATTATCTCAGACATGGAAATTTAGTTTACAGAGCTTTGGGGCTAGTGATTTGTGGCATTCACATAGCAGATTTGACATGCTGCTACATCTATTTTATGACATCCACCTACGTATAAATATGTATCAAAGACATTAAATACAAGTAAGAATCAAAAAGCTGCAGTGGGTTGGCTCATTCAGTAATTCATTCATTCATTGTCTCAGGGGTTAACTCACATCTCCTAACTGTGGTGCAGATTGTGTCATGCGAACAAGTGGAGCCATAATCCATTTTTCCAGGATGGATAATATGGCTGCACATTGCTATAAAAAGGAGAATTGATGTTGAATGCTTGCTGTTTTCACAGCCATCTGTTAGGATGAAACAGTCATTATGGTAAAATTAAAAATTAATTAAGCTGTCATGAAAGTAACCCTTATTACCTGGTTTACATAATTGTATGTGTCGGCAGGAGTTGCTTGCCCCTCTCTTTCTCTGGATGATGTATCACTACAGTAAGCACAAGTATGTAAGAAGCAGTACTGTATAAATTCAGAAAAATACTTTTAGCTTGTGTCTTTGCAGAAAGTAAATCAATTATTCCACAAGAATCTGAATAAGCATAAAATGAAATTATATATGTAACAAAATAAACATAACCAAACCCAAAAAGTCAGTGTTCATCTACCACCAGAAGTCTTAACATACAGTCTGCAGCACAAGGTTTGCTTACACAGAACCTCTCTGTGTCTCACTTTTCAGAGCTTTACTGTTTTTCTAAACTTTGTGTTTGTGGTCTCACAAGTTATTATCAGAATGAGAAAAATACTATGTTTGTCTCTTTTCTCTTACATCCATAAGCCCTAACAAATCCATATGACTCCCAGCTTTAGTTTGATGATCAATGAATATCAACCACTACTCATCTTTCAAACATCATGTTTAAATCCCAGTGGATTTAATCAAGCTAACCAAAAGATGCACATTGTAGTTCCCTGAGGTGCACAGGGATATGAACTCACCAAGAAATTTTGGAGAAACATTTCCTTTTCCTTCTAAAGATGTGAATTCCTCAAAAGCAGAGGTTTTTGCACGAGTGCTATTTTCCTGGCAAAACTCAGAATAAAATCCCATGGCCAGGGTAATTCTTGTTTTGCACACTCTTTTGAAATGTGAAGATCATTCGCTAGCAACCAGTTGCATGCCCTGAAGAGCCCATGGGCAGGGAGATGTGTGCCTGTCTCTCTTCAGCCAAAAAAGCATCATGGAGTTGCCAAGGGATAAGAAAAGAGGTCAGACTTACCTCTGTCTGTGATAGTCTGCAGGCTGTTTTGCATTCCACACGCCAAAGTTTTCTTCTCACCTCTTCTTAGGGGCTTCATTTTTTTTCTCTTGTACACACTAAAGGTAATGCAGTATAGGATTCTAAAGCCCAGGATTATTCAGGGTCAACTAAGTCTTCTTCAGATTTCTGGTTTTGTCAGTTTATTAGTTTTAATGGTTCTCTGCAAAATTCTAAATGTTTAAAAATAGTAAAGGCTCTCATTGTTTTACTTTTTCCTGCTCACCTGACTAAATACTAGCCTCCATTTAAAATAAGGACAGCTGAAAAGGCATTAACTTGAGAGAAATATTTGCATTTTATATTCTTACAGGGAGAAAAAAAGGTGCAGTGTTTTAAAGGAATACAGCATATTTGCTATTTAGTTTGTTACACTTTCTGAACTGGGGATTTGATTGGAGATAGTGGTGATCTCCAATCTCCATTGGAGATTCTGCACAGGTGACCAAACTCCGTTGTAGTTGGTGCAAGTAGACTCCTGCATCCTGGCAGCAGGAGTTGGCTCCAAGGTAAAGTGAGCCCAAGTCTGGCATCAGTGGTGATATATAAGTAATAAGTTGCAATATTTTAAAGGAATTCAGTGTATTTGCTGTTTATTTTTTACACTTTTTGATCACAGTCATGTGATTCTCTGAAATCTTACTCCCACATGTTAAGAAACCAAGAATAAGAGAGAAAGTCTGATTATTAATTTCAAGATTAGTTGTTCTAGGTAGTGATCCATGAGGCCCTGTTAAGTCTCCTGCAAAACTGTCCTGAATACTGTTTTCTGTTGCAAATCTGACAAAGCTTCTGAAGTTTTCCCAGTAAACACTGAAGTTCCCACTAATCCCCTGTCCAAAAAGTTACCACTCCTCTAGGTGATATGATAAAGCTGAGAAGTAAAATATATGCTGACAGGTGGTCCTAACCCCTCCCACCCCTTTTTGGGCAGAGTAACTCTGTAAGTTGCATCTTGCACAGCCCTGGCCAAGGGTTGCAGACTGCTGCTGTTTCTGCCTGAGGGGAGGTGCTGCCTGGCCTCTAGAGCTGCTCCTTCAGGGAAATGTCCCTCCCCCTTCTCTCCTTCGCTCAATTAACATCAGCTGTTGTTAATTTGGTGACATTTTGCTTCTAAATTCTGTAATGAGGGGATGTGAGATGATGGTGTGACAGAGCAATGGTGACTTTTACTGTGTATAAACGTGTCTTCCCTCCTTGCCCTCCCCCCGAGCAGCGTGCTCGACAGCGCAAGTCGCCTGGACGAAGAACATAAGCTGATCGCCAGGTATGCAGCAAGGCTGGCAGCAGAAACTTCTTCATCAGTAAGTGTTTTAATTAAGGGAAGGTACTTTCCTTCTGTCATGTTCCAGGGGCTTGGCGAGATCAGGGAAATTACATCGGATAGTGTAATGATTAATGGTTTATTTTTCCCTATCCTTTTCATCAGAGGCTGTTATGCTTTAGGAGTGACACTTCTGTGCAGTCCACTTAAACCAAAGAATCCACATACTAATGCTTATAATCTATATACTAATGCAATGGTATTTAAATAATTACATCAAAGTGAATCTGACATCTTGAACTCAGGAAAGACTAGAAAATATTTTCTGGACTAGCGTTGGTTAAAGGTTAATGATTTACTGCCGTGGAAAAATGGGGTGATGAATCCATATTACTCTCTAGTTCAAATATCACAGCCACTAGGGCCCTACGTACTAAGGATTTTAAAGCCAGGATGACTGTAATGACCCCCTGCATTAGCCCTGGCTCCCATTTTCATTTCAGAGCAATGATTATTCTGCTCTATGTATCCCAAGATAGAAGGTGATGACAGGCTAAAACCTCACTAACTGCATTCAGGAGGAAGAGAGGATGAAGCAGGAACCTAATCAAAGTATATAAAATCTTAAATGGTAATATAAGGTCAGCCTAGTTACTTTTTTCCATCTCAGCACATTTGATAGAACAAGAGATCATAAATGATGGTTAAGTGAAAAGCAGCTGGTCCAGAGTACCCGGAAACATTTTCACACTGGGATTTACACTGTGGGGTCAACTGAAAGGGTGAAATTGGGAACCACACTTCATGTAAAGACACTGAGTCACGTTCACGCCAAGTGAAGACAAATCTGCCACCCCATGCAGCCATCTGTCACAGAAGATTTCACACTAGTGCTTAGGAAGAGAGGGGTGCTCCAGCTCCACCAGCCCAGCTCAAATTAATCCTTTCCAGAGGTGTGACACAGTGTCTCAAATTTAAGGCAACCTGTAAGTGATGGTCCTGTTTCTGAAGGACAGTAATTCTTTATGGAAACAAGATTTCACATTCATAATGTCTCTGGGTAGAAACTGGTCAGAATCGGTTGTATATAACACGTCCTTGATCTGGGGGAAAACTTAGGAAACAGTATAAATAGAGCTGGTTTGAAAGAAAAATACTGAATTTCTCATTGCCATCCATCTGTGCTCTTTGAACAAAAGAGACAGAAGGAAAAGAGAAGGTTTCTGTATACAGAAATCTTTTCAAGCACAAGAGTGGTACCACAGTAGGAGCACAGTGGAAATTTTTTAAGCTTTGCTGATGGTCATTCTGGCTTTTAAAGAACAAAATGTATTAATAACAGTGGGCATTCAGGATAAAGATCCCAATTCCTCCTGTATCACTCATGGCCAGCATGTGTCATTTTTTCTTATTATTGCACTGCTCTGCTTCCCTGTGGTTGGAGTATTAATGGGAAAATGTATCCATAACAGAAAAAAATGGCTACAGGGGAAACATACTTTTCCTACTTTTTTTTTACAGTCCTAACCTTTGGTAGGTTTGTTAGGCTATTGAGATGTATCTTCATCCTTTTTGAGGGTTCACCTCCTGGAGGAGGAGATGCCTGGCATCACAAAATTGGGTTCCAGAGTTACACTTTGCAGGGCTTTTATGGTGAGAAACATTCAGATCACAGCAATAACTCAGCAGAGGGTTTTTAAATGTCTGATTCTTCCAGGCTGGAGTTAGGAACAAATGGATATCTTTGATAGCTGTGAAACTTTAAAATATGCTCTGTGTTGTCATTGATGCAGTACTGAAATACAGGAGTGTGAACAAGGAAAACAATAATTGGTTATTACTGATGAACATGCAAAAAAAGATTATAGTCCTGTGAAGCTGAAGTGAGCACTGCCTAGTTTGGTTAGAAATAGTTTAACTCCCACCTCATTTTATTGGAGGGAATAAAGGTTCTGCTGTACCTGAAGGACTGGGGAAAGAGGTTTTCTGAAGTGTCATCAGAGCGTATTGGAAAACGTGGCTAAATGGGCCACACAGCCTGACTGAAAACTGAGTAGAGCTTTCAAACTGAAAGTAAAACCATACTTTCAAGAGAGTGAAGCTTCACTGCACTGGAAACACATCCTGTTCCTTTTGGAGGCAGACACTGGTTTCTGCTTCAGTGCGTTCCTCTTGTCTGCAGTATCAAAATTAAGAGCCTATATTACAGCAACTGCCTGCAGCAGTGCCATTGCCTTTTATGACTGGTTCAGAGAAAGCTCCTTGAAAAAGCAATGAATGACAGGATGGTAAACACCGAGTCTTATTTACTCTAGCACTTACTCTGCTTCTACTAGCGATGGAGCCGCACGGGTATGAGCGCAGCATGGATGCTCTTTTTTCAGTGTAGGCAAGCCTGGTAGTACATTTTCTGTAAGCAGATTTCACAGAACAGATCTGTGTTGAACTCATGGCTGCATGCTGGCTATTCTTCAATGCAGCCTTCTCTTTTTTACAACAGCAGCAGAGTCAGCAGAGAGGGGCATCAGATATCTCCTTCACCATTGATGCAAACAAGCAGCAAAGGCAGCTGATTGCAGAGCTTGAAAACAAAAACCGGTAAGTGTCCACAAAGCACCTGGTTTTGTGCAGCCCATATATTTGGTTTGTTTGTTTGTTTCTTAACATTTCTTACTGCCTACACCTGTATAATATGCTTAGACATGCACATGTATATCCACCTGCAACAAGCATGGGGCACAAAAAAGTCCAGAGAATATGACAAAGGCTTTGAAATCCATAGCCACCCTGTGTTTTTATAAGTGTACTCTTCAATGACATGATATCAACGTTGATACTTTACTGTTTGCAACTGCTGTTTGTTAAGAGTTAAAAAAAAGCCTGTCCTATTTCAAACCTGGAGTCACTTTCGGTTGGATCCTCTGTAGCACTATAACATGAAATGATAAAAGGATCAGTCATGCTTGTAATGTTATGCTCCCCTGCTTTTATTTGGGAAAAAGATGATTAAAGCTTTCCAGGACACAGCCTGTCTGGGAAAGGTTTGCAGAAAGGTTAGCAGCAAGTTAGGCTACTGATCAAATGAGACAAGAGGTACAAATGTGCCCGAGACTGAGAGAGAGTGTCCAGGAGAAATAAGCCAGCCAGCCCCAGAAAGGAGTAATGCCTGTTTGTTAAGAGCAGAGAATCTGGCCCTGGGTATCAGACTGCCGGATGCCGTGAAATGTATGGCAGTGGAGCTCTGCTTTTAGGGCTGGACTGTAAAATAGAGGCCAGCCCAGACCAGATGGTTTCCTGTTCCAAACTCTGCACTGCCTTCTGTCACCGTGTAATGAGCACCACCAGCTCCAGTCTGGATTTGTCTTTCATAGTTCAAGGCTGCCTCCTGACCGTCTGCTATCCAGCACATTGTGAAGAAGACAGAAAACTCACAAAGGTTTCAACCTTCTGCTGCGAAGCTTTGTATTAGCCTTTTGACAGTGCTCCAGGGCTGACAAGCCAGTCAAAACAAGTCCTATTAAAGTGCTTCTCCCTGAATTGTTGACTGCTCTCACATCTCTACTTACACTGACAGTATCTTTTAAGTGCTAAATATTTCCCCTGATACTCAAGAAGGGCCAGAAAGGTTATTTTAATTTTTGTTAAGTTCATGTGGTACTTGAAATGTTCATGATGAAGAATTAGAAGGGAACAATTTAGTTAAGCTTAGAGCTATTTGATGTCTACCTTTATTTTTGGGGGGTCTTGAGAAAGTATTTCCCTTTATGGCGAAATCCTAGGAGTTCATTTAAAAAACATCCAGAGCCCTCTCCCATTGCTGAGGGCTCCTTTGGTTGGTTGCAGCCCAGTCATTTTATCTACACTGATGAAAAGCTACATACAATCATAATTCATCTCCCCCTGCGATGTCCAGTGAGCTGGTTTTGTGGAAAGTTACTGACCTGTAGCCTTCTGCTTATTCTCCTCCCCAAGAGAAATCCTACAGGAGATCCAGAGGCTGCGACTTGAACATGAGCAAGCATCTCAGCCCACACCAGAGAAGGCACAACAAAATCCCACTCTCCTTGCAGAGCTTCGGCTCCTGAGGTAAGTCCACAGCAGTAAAACCTTTGGCTATGACAGGGGCCAAACAGACATTCTCAGTAAGAGAAGAAATAAGAGATACGCTCAGCTTACAGTTTTGGGGGCTTTTTGAAGTGAGTCAGTGTGTATTTTTTCTCCATTTTTGGTGCAGTCTGTTGTCCTAGAAGCAATTAAGCTTATGCTTTAAACTGCATGTATGAGGAATCTCACCTGTTACTCATCTATATTAAATTAAGCACGTGCATTAGTGATTGCAGAGTTAGGCCTGTCGGTCATTTGGAATAGGTCCCCACAGCCTTGTCCAAATGCCATTAATTATATGGGGAAAAACATTCTGTCAGAAAAAATGCCTTAACAAAGTCTTCTCCGTTATGCTAAAGAAATTACAGAACTACATGAAAATACAGCCAGAATTAGATGTTATTTTTTTAAAATTGCCCCCAGTTCTTAGCACAGCGCAAAACCAGGCTGCAGAATGAGCCTCCTCATCACGTGGGAGGTGGGGAGTAATGTCATCTGCAGCAGCTGAACATTTAGGAGATTCCTCCAGTCATCCCTCCAAGCTAAAAACATTGATATGCATGTATCAGCATGTTAATTATGATACTCTACATGGATTTACTAATTGCCATGGATATCACATTGAAGAAGTACAATTGTCATTGGCCCAGATACATAGGCTCCCTGAAGGTCCTGGAGTTCATGTTGTGAGAGCCAGAAAGAGAATCCAGTAAGAACTATTCCAAATTCTTCATGCGAATAGACAGTAGAGTGTAACCACTTTCTTTCCAGTGAAACAGTGCTAGGCTGCTCTGCCCCTATAGGGCAGTACTCTCTTGAGAAGACTGAAGAACATTTTTGGCCATTTATCTGCTCCTCACACAACTAATATTTTAGTGGTCTTAATAACCCAAAGGAAATTACTGTAAGAAATTGTGCTAAATCTTTTTCCTTACAAATACTTCATAGTTTTATTACGGAGTTTTCCACACTAAAATATTCTTCTGATTCACAAATAATTACATTTGCTTTCCAATCTGAATACAAATTAGCTTCTTCATTTCTATGAGTGATTTTAGTGTGTAATTAGTTCTAGATATCTACCGGCAAGCGACATTCTGTGAGACATAAAACCAACTGTGATGAAAATGTGTACACTGCATAAAATATACCAGTAATGTAGCTCTTGTGCATCAAACCTAAAGTCTGTTTTCAGCAGGTTTAGAAGATTGGCTTTCTCTGTAGTTGACAAATAAAATTCATTATACTTAGAAAAAAAAGAAATGATTGTGCAGTGTTAGCAGACTGACTACTTAATATGAAAAGCACAGTGTCCCTACTTTAATTTCCTGACATGGGATATCCCTAGGGCAGTGATGCCGAGTTCCTCAATTATGATATCATCTCTGATTTAATATGCAGTGTCAGAGTCAGAAAATAACCTTTAATTTGTGGGTCTGAACTGCTTTGCGTGCCTTGTAAAATGTTCACCATTTGAAAGGCAGAAGTCTGACTTTTGATTTACTGTGGAATTTTGACAGCACCTCAAATTCCTAGACACTTAAGGTGTCACAACGCTCTTCTTATCATGTGTAAGACAGCAGGACTAGAACAGTAGGCCTGATTCATGTCTGTTACCCCAGAAGTATTTCGGGCTTGAAGCACGTTAGGCAGTAGGGCAGTTTATTTCACATTGTATTAAGAAATGCTGGAATCTGTAAATTATGGTGTGAGTACCTGTCCCAGCATCTTTCACTAGCTGCTGAGTGTTGCAGAGTCACTGAAATGAGATTCTGAACACAGCATTCCTTCACATTGCCAGTACTATCTTGGAGACAGGTTGGAAAACCCATTACTCCCAAGAACTTGCTCTGGAGTGCAGTGGGAGAAAAACATCAGAGGAACAGTCTGTACTGTGCACACTGCTTAGATCCTCTCTCCCTGTAGAATTAATCTAAAACCCAGCACAGCTCTGTGCTAGGACCTGCCACTTTGAATTACATGGACCTTGGTTTTGTTAGCAGTTTCTTAAACTCCATTGCCTTTGTATAGTTCACAGCATTTCCAGCAATTACATGGCTGGAAAAGAAAAGCCAGCACAGGCATTTTGTAGCAGAAAATAGAAAAATCTTTCAGAAGAGTAAATGCAACCTGGCAGTGTTACTGTATGATACTATTATATATAGGTGAGAGAGAGTGCACATGAGCAATCCCATAGAGATCAGTGTTGCTTATATAGCTGCTTATTTGCAGAGAAGGCTCAAAATCAGGGTTTCATATACCCTAAATACAGGAAATGTACTGAAGTCTTGTTGGCTATGGTGCTTTCCCATTTAGGATTAAACTGTCACATTTTGTAGGTAGTACAAGACTAACGACATAGTGGTTTTATGTTATTTGCAACACAGTAGTTTATAAAATATACTTAATAGGTAATCCTCTCACACAATTCAGTGATTGGACATGTGCAAGTGCTGATCCCCCATCCTGTGCAGCAGAGCTGTGCAGAATCAAAGCTATTCACATTTATGGGGGCACATATGGAGTGGCTGTCACACTTGGAGTGGCTCAGTTTTCACACTGTCATGGAACCAGCACTGGACTCCGAGTCCAAAGAGCTAATTTCAAGCAGTTATATCTCCGCTATGTGATAGTCTTACCCTTGCTTTCAGAAAAAAATAAAAACAAAAGCAGATCACTGTGGTGTTCTGGCTGAATTTCTGAACTCTCCTAGCTTCATATCTTGTTGTGTTCAGTGCCCCTGCTGTAATTTCCTGTCCCTTGGGGCATGGCTTTAATTTCTCCTGACAGCTAGTGAGGTTATTGACTAGAGACATACAAAGACAAAAATTGCCAGGGATTTCCACAAGAGAATATAACACAAACTTGTTTGAACCTCATTTGTTCTTTGAAGAAGAGTCTGTGTCAGTGTCTGTCTTTTCCCTAATCACTGTGTTCAGTCCCATGAGTATTCTCAGCATGAGGGAACTCCCTAGCCTTCATGTGGCCTCATTTCTAAGCACTATGCTGAATTCATTCCGTGTGTTTGCTTTCCTGTGATCTATAGGCATGTACCTCATAGTATGACTGGAAAAAATGACAGAGTAAGAAGCTGCTGATACTGTGAGGGGTAAGCTCTGATCAGATCTGCTTGTTTCTCAGACAGCGGAAGGATGAGCTGGAACAGAGGATGTCTGCTCTCCAGGAAAGCCGGAGGGAGCTTATGGTTCAGTTAGAAGGTCTCATGAAACTGCTGAAGGTAAGGAGCTCCACCTGATACTACCAATGAGAACAGGCAGAGTGAAGCAAGAGAGGAGAGGGAGGATGTTTAACCACGGAATTCTGTAGGATTTGACTGTTTAGTTTTTTAGGTTTTGGTTTTGCCTTGGTCTTCCAATTCAGGGGTTTCAGATGATGTTGTTCCTGTAGTAGCACTGCATCATGACTGTCACCTGCTGCTAAGTGGAGTAAGAATAAGAAAAGAAACAAACCAATGCATAAAATGAGTTAGCTATTAACTATTATTTAAAAACCCACAGGACTGTACTCTATTACTTACTCCAGCTGACAGTATAGAGTTCCTTTAACTTTGCCCATTCAGTTGCTGGTTCTGTCGGACCTGTCATTTGACAACCACATCTAACTCTCTCACCTCAGAGATTCTTGCCCAGCAACACCTGGTCATTTTCACCAATGCAGAAACAAGCCCTTGTTAAACAGATGAGACACACCTCACCAAAGCATCTCAGTTAAAATTGAAGGTCTCAAAAAGCATGTCCATTTTTAAAGGCAGACTAGAGTAAGGTAGAAAACATGTCTTTATTTGCAGAGTCCAGCCCTGTTTTACCTGATGTGCCTCAGGACAGATGATGCCAGAAATTCACATTGGAAGAAAGTGCTCTGTATAGCATAAGAATCTGTTTTGTTGTTGGCCATGCCAGATCAAATCAGTGCATGGAAATTCAGTGCACCTTGGGTCAAATATGGCTCTGTAAGAGCAGAAGGAATTTCACTGAAATACATTTAGCAACATGATTTGCATCAAAGGATGAGTTTGATCCTTATGTCACTTGCATCTCCTCACACACAAGCTTCTGCAGCCACAATGCAGGAATTAGTGGCACCTGAGCAGCAGAGCTCACCAAATAGCCAGATTCTGGGGAGCTGGAAGGAGGCAGGATACTTTTTGCTCTACTAATGAAATGCTGCAGTGCTCCAACTAGCAGTGAGGGCTGCCTGATGTCAGTGCACTGCCTGGACAAAGAGAATTTGGGGTAGGAAACGATAGCAGCTTTCTTCACCCTTTGCACTATTCTGATGTTCAGAGTGTGCAGAAGTGGGAGCCTAACCTGGTCACATACCTTCAACTATTTCAACTTTCACCTACCTATAACCTTGCAGTCCACATTTGGCTGTTTTCTGTTCTTCACTTACACCCTGGCTAATCTCATGTGCTGATCCTCTTTTTCTTTAGGAAGAAGAATTGAAACAGGTAGTAAATTCTGTCCTTACTGGAGGCCTCACTAACTCCTAAATGTGATTGTGTTCCTGTGATCTGTTTTACTTCCTTTGCTTGAGAAGTGTGTGTGTTCTTTTGACGAAAATTAATATTTTGCAATTCTTTCCCACATTATTTTCAAGTAGCTTGGAGCAATTTTCACAACTAAGTATCTTAGCCCTCTAGAAAGTGAGTCATGGCTGCAAGGAGTCTTGATCTTTTTCACACTCCTCTAAATGAAAACATGTAAGGTATAGAAATCACCCCTCAAATGCAGTGAAACCAACCTAGGATATGAATTAAAGAACACTTCTACCATAGATAACATTTTGAAAATGTAATGAAAAATTTGGAACTTTAAGAAAAACATAACTGAGCTTAAATTAGACCAGGGCAATGAGTTTGGAAACCCGCTTTACCCAGTAAAAGTCAGAGCATAGTGTGTATATCTTTAAAGTCAGCACTGGTGTTAACAGTCCCATGATTCTTTGGGAAAACAAATGGTTTCTGCAACATAGATCAAAAAGAGCAAGTATTTATATTATTAATAGTGAATTTTAGAAGACTTTATTGTTTTGGAGTATTGCAATGGATCTTGGAAAGATACTAGGCTAAAATATAAAAAACCTTTTCAGATGGCAGTCTGATTTACAAGTCCGATAAAAACCTTTCATTTTGACAAAACACATTTCCTCTTTCTTTCATCAGCAGAGGTACAGTCACACGTCTGATGTGTTCTCTGTGGTAGAGCATGCAGGGTTTGTATGTAATGCTCACCTTCATAAAACTAGCATTGGGCTAATTTTTGTAGGCCATCAATCTGTTGCACACAGAACAATAAATCTGACCAAACAGCACCTCCCTGTAAAGACTCTGCAGTATTAAAAGATTATTTTGCTCGCAAAAGAGAAGTTTCCAATGTGCCAGGAGTTTCCCTAGCATATAAAATGTTCACTGGACAGTATAAGTGAAAGCACATTTTCAGGCTGTTATGAGGTATTTTTATGAGATTTTTTTTCCTTCTGAGAGTAATAGCCTCACTGAATACCAGGTGATGATGCTGAAGAATTACTCTCACAATTTCCATTTAATGATCCCCATTATGCTATGCCATTTCACAAACTGTTGAGAGAAACAGGATTAAATTAATTTCTGGAGGAATTCAATTGGAATGAGCAGCCTGGCAATTCATCTAATGCTGATGAACTATCTATTTCTCTCCTGCCCTTCCCTGAGAAAGGATAATGAGTTCTTCACATCCCTGTCGTTTGATGAGGCTGTGAGGCAGGCTTTCCCCATATGTCATCCCAGTTCAGTCCCGGCAGAGGGAGCAATGAGCTAAAGCTCTCGTAAGGCCAGTTTTTATTTCAAGCATTTTATCCTGAGCTTGACAGCGGGAATTCTCTTCCTGTCTAGCAAGAGTTAACTTAAAAGCCATAGCAAGGTGACTAGAGATGGTGAATTAAATGAAATACATGGGAGTTTTCTTTAAAAGCACGAGAACATTGATAGCTGCAACCAAGTGCATCACAAAAGTTGAAGCCATGAAAATATCCATGGTGGCTGTGGTAGCTCCCGTTTCCGCATGCCTTAGTCCTCAGCTGGTGGAACTGCCAAAGTCTGGGAGCAATTCAGTGCTCAATTTCTCTGCTGAGCTTACCAAAAAGTCACTACTGACTGTCATAGCAGATTTCAGGCCGTTAGCTCTAGCCTTTGATAGTCGCCTATCACGTTTCTCCTGATAACCACTAAGCACTTCACTCCCACAAACTTGGGCTGAGGTGGATCTAGATGAGTAAAATATGTTTAGTGTTCACCTCTCTGAAATCAGGAATTCACTAATATCCTCCTATTTCAACCTGCTGTTCATCAGTTCTGTCTGATACTACCCAAATAGTATAAAAAGTGATGAGTTTTTTCCTGGACAAGGGACTCCAAATGCTTCATCTCCCTGTGTTTCCCAAACAGTTTTTTTCCAGCACTGAAAGCTACAGATAAAAGAGCACTGTTTATCATAAACACAAGATCTCAGTCATAGCTGCAAAACAGACACAAGGGTAAGCACTGGATGTGCAGAAGCTTTTACATTTCTCTTGTGGGAAAATTCCAGAGCAGAAGTATTTTTAGGAAATAAAATGCCTATTCTGAAGTTCGTTCCTGAGTGTAACTTAACTCTAAGAAGCAAATTTTGTCCAATTTTTCCCTCATCTTGTCTGAAAGTTCCCGCTGTTGGTGATCCCCAGATGAAAGGCAAAGGGGAGCTAAGGAAAACAAGGCAAGTGAAAAAGGGCACTCCACTTTCAGGGAGCTGAGAACCAAAAAATCTTTTGCAAATGTGTTTCACTGAGGATAGAATGTGCACCATCGAGGCAGTAGATGCCTGATGTGCAGGGGGTGTGACCACCAAGGACCTTGGAGCATCTCCAGGTGACTCTGTGCTCTGCCTTTAGAGGGCTAGAGATCTGTATTTCTGCTGGAGCTGGTACAGATGATTCCAGAAACAGGAGAGCATCTGGCCTTTATATATTTGACTTGCCTTTCATCCATCATTTAAATGTTCTAAAACCAATCATTAAAGAAATTATAAGTATTAAATCCTCCATTCTTCCATCAGTAATGTGCTTATTCCTCATAAACCTAATTTGCCCTTGATGTCTTTCTGGTGATAATGTCTCTTATAAAGGGGTGATAGGAGAAAAGGACAAATAGCTTAGTATTCTGATGCATTATTTATGGCTCAGGGCAGGAATTTATAAAAATCTCAAGGGCAGTGCTGCACTCATCCTGCAGTGGGCTGCACTTGTCTTTTTTAGAACATATTTGCCAAATTGTATCAGGACTGCAGTGGCAACCGCAAGCCATGAGAAGAGTTAAGAAATCCTCCTGAATTCTCAAAATAAAGCCAGGACTGGGGAAACAACAGCTCTCGGGTCACTTATGACTGCAAACAACCAGGGTCTTGCGTTGCAGTTCCTCTTTAACAGCACTTAAGCCAGCTCCATCCTTGGCATCTACCAAACACAGGTTTTCAGTCAAAAGTCACGTGCAGTTTGGTGTGAGCTCCAGCGTTTGGGTTTTTTATGTGGACACACATTCCCAGGGGGTTTTGAAACTGTGGGTGAGAAGAGCACTGTGTCTCTTGGTATCACTCACCCAGCTGCGTTAGTAAAAATTACTGTTTTGTAAAGTCTGCTTGAATTTCCACTAAGTGATCCTAACTGTGAGGTGCTAACAGCATGACATTTATGTGACTGGTGTTAAAACATTTTCACTTCCAGCAGCCGAACCCATGGCAGGAATTTGTATTGCCCTGTGCCCACGGTGTTTTGGGAGTGCCTGAGTATATCCTGTAGAGCAAATAATGTAATAGTGTATGATTTAATAGTGGCTTAAATAGTTCTCTAGCTCCGAATCAAAAGCAGAATGTTATATTATTTATTGCGAGTGTCAGACTTTATGTGACTGAGAGGTTGCATGTACCATGAACCTGTGCTGCAGGGAGACAGAGGGCAGGGCTGTGATCAGCGCTCACAGCAGCACTCCGATGGAAGGGGCTGGCCTGGCTGAAAGCCACATTGGTCCCAGCATCTTTCTCCTTCTCACTGCCAGGATGGGTTACACTTTATCAAACATGCATGCAAACTGGGGGAATGAGAGAGGGAAGAGGGCAGAGAGGTCTACAGTGTGGTGTTATTAACTTGAATTTTCTTTTAATTTAGCTGCCTGACATTTTCCCATGCTTAAAGTCAGATCTTGACTCATGTTTTCCTACTTACTGTTTTTCTACACAGAAGCATTGCTGTCCACTAACAGCTGACTTGGGCATTTTTTGCAGCAAAATTAACATTACCCAACTGATCTACAGGCAGCATGATGCCTTTGAGCTGAGGGATGGGTTACAAGGACAGCTGGTGGGCTCTCACAAAGACCTGTTTAACCCCTTGTGATTGTTTTGCAGACCCAAGGGGCAGGCTCCCCACGTTCCTCACCCAGCCACACTATCAGTCGACCTATTCCAATGCCCATCAGGTCTGCCTCTGCCTGCTCCACCCCAACACATGCACCTCAGGACTCTCTGACCGGGGTGGGAGGAGATGTGCAGGAAGCCTTTGCACAAAGTAAGTCTCACTGATAGCTCATCTGAAGTGCCTGGAGACTGAAGATTCATTATTTCTTGTGGTTACTTACTAAATGAACTTGAGATTCTGAGTTGCATGCAATGAAACAAAACAAAATAAAAAATATCTGCAACAACTGTGTTTTGCTATTGAAAATTGACTTTGTCAGCATCAAACTTTGCTGTCAGAGCAAGCAGGTAAGCAGAAACCCGACATTGATACCAATTCATGGATTTTGTGGTAAGAGGGAATTTTGATGCAAGATGATCAGAGCAGTTATCAGTGCTCTGCTAACCAGAAGAATTGCTATTGACCTCCACAAGGCATTGTCACTGTGTTTGATTTTAAATAAAGACTTTGCTAGAAATAGATGATACAATCATAGAAATTAGTTCAGGTGGAAAGGACTTTTGTAAGACATTGTGTCCTTCTGCTCCAACAAAGTGGATTTCAAAGTGAGATCAGACCATTCTGGACCTTTACCAGTTGAGTTCCAGATGGCTCCTGGCACACTTTTTCAAAGTCTGTGTTCCAGTGTTTGACATGCTCACTGAATCACAGAATCAGAGAATATTCTGAGTGTGAAGGGACCCACAAGAATCATCGAGTCCAGCTCTTGGCCCTGCAAAGGACAGCCCCAAGCATCACACCATGTGCCTGAGAGTATTGTCCAAAGGCTCCTTGATCTCCCTCAGGTTTGGTGCTGTGAGCACTTCCCTGGGGAGCTGTTCCAGTGCCAAGCACCTCTGGCTGAAGAACGTTTTTCCAGTATCTAACTTAAACATCTCTGACACGACTTCAGGCCATTGCCTCAGGTCCTGTTACTGGTCACCACAGAGAAGAGATCAGTACCTGCCCCTCCACTTCCCCTTGCAAAGAAGCTGTATACAGCTATGAGGTCTCCACTCAGTCTCCTCTTCCCCAGGCTGAACAAGCCAAGTGACCTCAGCCACTCCTCGTATGGCTTCCACTTTCCACTTTCACCT